AGTTCAAAAAGGGTGTTGCCTGTGTTCTCCTCTAGGATTTTGATGGAATCTTGTCTCACATTTAGATCTTTCATCCATTTTGAGTTTATGTTTGTGGATGGTGCAACAGAGTGGTCTAGTTTCATTCTTCTGCATGTGGATGTCCAATTTTCCCAGCACCATTTATTGAAGAGACTGTCTTTCTTCCAGTGGATCGTCTTTCCTCCTTTATCGAATATTAGTTGACCATAAAGTTCAGGGTCCACTTCTGGGTTCTCTATTCTGTTCCATTGATCTATGTGTCTGTTTTTGTGCCAGTACCACACTGTCTTGATGACCACAGCTTTGTAGTACAACCTGAAATCTGGCATTGTGATGCCCCCAGAATGGTTTTCTTTTTTAAAATTCCCCTGGCTATTCGGGGTCTTTTCTGATTCCACACAAATCTTTAAATAATTTGTTCTAAGTCTCTGAAGAAAGTCCATGGTATTTTGATAGGGATTGCATTAAACGTGTAAATTGCCCTGGGTAACATTGACATTTTCACAATATTAATTCTGCCAATCCATGAGCATGGAATATTTTTCCATCTCTTTGTGTCTTCCTCAATATCCTTCAGAAGTGTTCTATAGTTTTTAGGGTATAGATCCTTTACCTCTTTGGTTAGGTTTATTCCTAAGTATCTTATGCTTTTGGGTGCAATTGTCAATGGGATTGACTCCTTAATTTCTCTTTCTTCAGTCTCATTGTTAGTGTATAGGAATGCCATTGATTTCTGGGCATTGATTTTGTATCCTGCCACGCTGCCAAATTGCTGTATGAGTTCTACCAATCTTGGGGTGGAGGCTTTGGGTTTTCTACGTAGAGTATCATGTCATCGGCGAAGATGGAGAGTTTGACTTCTTCTTTGACAATTTGAATGCCTTTAATGTCTTTTTGTTGTCTGATTGCTGAGGCTAGGACTTCCAATACTATGTTGAATAGCAGTGGTGAGAGTGGACATCCCTGTCTGGTTCCTGATCTTAGGGGAAAGGCTCCCAGTGCTTCCCCATTGAGAATGATATTTGCTGTGGGCTTTTCGTAGATGGCTTTTAAGATGTCGAGGAAAGTTCCCTCTATCCCTACACTCTGAAGAGTTTTGATCAGGAATGGATGCTGTATTTTGTCAAATGCTTTCTCTGCATCTAATGAGAGGATCATATGGTTCTTGGTTTTTCTCTTGCTGATATGATGAATCACATTGATTGTTTTACGAGTGTTGAACCAGCCTTGTGTCCCGGGGATAAATCCTACTTGGTCATGGTGAATAATTTTCTTAATGTGTTGTTGAATCCTATTGGCTAGTATCTTGTTGAGAATTTTTGCATCCATGTTCATCAGGGATATTGGTCTGTAATTCTCCTTTTTGGTGGGGTCTTTGTCTGGTTTTGGAATTAAGGTGATGCTGGCCTCATAGAATGAATTTGGAAGTACTCCATCTCTTTCTATCTTTCCAAACAGCTTTAATAGAATAGGTATGATTTCTTCTTTAAACGTTTGATAGAATTCCCCTGGGAAGCCATCTGGCCCTGGACTCTTGTGTCTTGGGAGGTTTTTGATGACTTCTTCAATTTCCTCCCTGGTTATTGGCCTGTTCAGGTTTTCTATTTCTTCCTGCTCCAGTTTTGGTAGTTTGTGGCTTTCCAGGAATGCGTCCATTTCTTCTAGATTGCCTAATTTATTGGCGTAGAGTTGTTCATAATATGTTTTTAAAATCGTTTGTATTTCCTTGGTGTTGGTAGTGATCTCTCCTTTCTCATTCATGATTTTATTAATTTGAGTCTTCTCTCTCTTCTTTTTAATAAGGTTGGCTAATGGTTTCTCTATCTTATTACTTCTTTCAAAGAACCAACTCCTGGTTCTATTGATCTGTTCCACAGTTCTTCTGGTCTCAATTTCGTTGAGTTCTGCTCGAATTTTAATTAACTCTCTTCTTCTGCTGGGCGTCGGGTCGATTTGCTGTTTTTTCTCTAGCTCCTTTATGTGTAAGGTTAGCTTTTGTATTTGAGTTCTTTCCAGTTTCTGAATGGATGCTTGTTTTGCAATGTATTTCCCCCTCAGGACTGCTTTTGCTGCATCCCAAAGATTTTGAACAGTTGTATCTTCATTCTCATTAGTTTCCATGAATCTTTTTAATTCTTCCTTAATTTCCTGGTTGACCCTTTTATCTTTTAGCAGGATGGTCCTTAACCTCCACGTGTTTGAGGTCCTTCCAAACTTCTTCTTGTGATTGAGTTCTAATTTCAAGGCGTATGGTCTGAGAATATGCAGGGGACGATCCCAATCTTTTGGTATCGGTTCAGACCCGATTTGTGACCCAGTATGTGTTCTATTCTGGAGAAAGTTCCATGTGCACTTGAGAAGAATGTGTATTCAGTTGAGTTTGGATGTAAAGTTCTGTAGATATCTGTGAAATCTATCTGGTCCAGTGTATCATTTAAAGCTCTCGTTTCTTTGGAGATGTTGTGCTTAGAAGACCTATCGAGGGTAGAAAGAGCTAGATTGAAGTCACCAAGTATAAGTGTATTATTATCTAAGTATTTCTTCACTTTGGTTAATAATTCGTTTAAGTATTTGGCAGCTCCCACATTCGGGGCATATGTATTGAGGATTGTTAAGTCCTCTTGCTGGATAGATCCTTTAAGTATGATATAGTGTCCCTCTTCGTCTCTCACTACAGTCTTCGGGTAAATTTTAGTTTATCTGATATAAGGATGGCTACCCCTGCTTTCTTTTGAGAACCATTTGAATGGTAAATGGTTCTCCAACCTTTTATTTTCAGGTTGTAGGTGTCCTTCTGTCTAAAATTAGTCTCTTGTAGACAGCAAATAGATGGGTCCTGCTTTTTTATCCAGTCTGAAACCCTGCGCCTTTTGATGGGGTCATTAAGCCCGTTCACGTTCAGAGTTACTATTGACAGATATGAGTTTAGTGTCATCATGATATCTATTTAGTCCTTGTTTTTGTGGATTGTTCCACTGAACTTCTTCTTAAAGGGGAATTTTAAGAGTCCCCCTTAAAATTTCTTGCAGAGCTGGTTTGGAGGTCACATATTCTTTCAGTTCCTGCCTGTTTTGGAAGCTCTTTATCTCCCTTCCGTTTTGAATGAGAGCCTTGCTGGATAAAGTATTCTTGGTTGCATGTTCTTCTCATTTAGGACCCTGAATATATCCTGCCAGCCCTTTCTGGCCTGCCAGGTCTCTGTGGAGAGGTCTGCTGTTACCCTAATATTCCTCCCCATGAAAGTCAGGGACTTCTTGTCTCTTGCTGCTTTAAGGATCTTCTCTTTATCTTTGGAATTTGCAAGCTTCACTATTAGATGTCGAGGTGTTGAACGGTTTTTACTGATTTTAGGGGGGGATCTCTCTATTTCCTGGATCTGAATGCCTGTTTCCCTTCCCAGATTGGGAAAGTTTTCAGCTAGGATTTGTTCAAATACATATTCTGGCCCTCTGTCCCTTTCGGCGCCCTCGGGAACCCCAATTAAACGTAGGTTTTTCTTCCTTAGGCTGTCATTTATTTCCCTTAATCTGTCTTCATGGTCCTTTAATTGTCTGTCTCTTTTTTCCTCAGTTTCCCTCTTTGCCATTAACTTGTCTTCTATGTCACTCACTCGTTCTTCCACCTCGTTAACCCTCGTCGTTAGGACTTCTAGTTTGGATTGCATCTCATTCAATTGATTTTTAATTTCTGCCTGATTGGATCTAAATTCTGCAGTCATGAAGTCTCGTGAGTCCTTAATGCTTTTTTCTAGAGCCACCAGTAGCTGTATAATAGTGCTTCTGAATTGGCTTTCTGACATTGAATTGTAATCCAGATTTTGTAACTCTGTGGGAGAGAGGGCTGTTTCTGGTTCTTTCTTTTGAGGTGAGGTTTTCCTTCTAGTCATTTTGCTCAGTGCAGAGTGGCCAAAAACAAGTTGTATTGGAACACGGTGGAGTATCTTCTGATTCTGTAGACTTTAAGTCCCCTGTCTTCCCCTGGTACTGGTCCGTCCAGCTGGTCTTCTGGGGGAGGGGCCTGCTGTGCTGATTTTCAGGTGTTAGCACTTGGGGGAGCTGCTCCGCCCTGCCTGCTGCAGGGCTCAGCGGGGGTTGTTTACCCCGTGAGGCCCCAGGAGGAACAGCCGCAGTTGCTATGGCAACTCTGGAAGCCTGGATTCAGCCTCCGCAGGAACTTTGGGGCTCTCCGTCTGCAGGGCCTGGAGGCTCCGGGGCGGGGCCGCTGATCTGCTCAGCTCGGGGCAGGAGCGTCCTCGCTGTCCTGGGCCCTCCCGGCCTCTGCCTGTCCCGGGGGAGGCCGGATCCTGGGCTGTGTCCCGGCGCCCTGTGCTCCGGGGCCTGCGCTGTGGGATTCGCGCTCCCGCCCCGCAGCCCCCTCCGCGGAGCCGCCGCCCGAGCCCCTCCGAGCTGCTCCGGTCCCGCCGTGCGCGCTGCAGCCCTTAGGGAGCTCGGCGCACTCTCCCGGGGCGCAGGTGTCTGTTAGTGTCCCAGGGAGCCCGAGGGCATCCCCGCCCTCCTGGGTCCTCCTCCACCTCCCTGCGAGCCCCTTTCCGCCCGGGAAGGTTGGTGCAGCTCCTGCTCCTCCGGGACGGGGCTCTCCTGTCCTGGGGACACTCGCCCCGGCCTCAGCCCGGCTCCTCGCGGGGCCCCTCCCCCTCGGAGGCCTTTTGTTTCTTTATTTCTTTTCCCCGTCTTCCTACCTTGATAGAAGCGTGAACTCTTCTCACTGTAGCATTCCAGCTGGTCTCTCTTTACATCTCAGGCCGAATTCGTAGATTTTCAGGATATTTTGAAGGTTATCTAGGTAATTTGGTGGGGACAGGTGATTTGGGGACCCTGCTCTTCTGCCATCTTGCCCTCCTCTGTCCATCTTGCCCCTCCTCTGTTGTATTTGTCTTTCTGAGGAGTGAGAGAGTAAGTGAATTAATGTGATGTTTTCTGAAACTTTTTTTTTTTTTTTTTTTGGTGGTGTTCTTATAGGAAGGAACAATGAAGCCGGCAAGTGGTAAAAAGGACAATGGTGTTGATATTATTGAAAGTGCTCCACAAGAGCAAGCAGTTAATGACAATTTGACTTCTGCTGATAGAGCACACAAAAATAATACGAGTGGTAAGTTAGTGAACCTCTATGAGTTGTTTTTCTATGCTTACAGGCTAGTATAAAACAATATGAAAGTATGTAGATCCAAATTTTGTTATCCATTTCATTTCACGAAGTTATTTTTCTTTTGCTTTCTTTCTATATATCGCTACTACTGTGAACTTTTTCTTCCTGAAAATGCTTCATCCCTCTGAAAATCTTATCTCCTATTACTTTTATTTTTTTTTAATTTATTTATGATAGTCACAGAGAGAGAGAGAGAGAGAGAGAGGCAGAGACACAGGCAGAGGGAGAAGCAGGCTCCATGCACCGGGAGCCCAACATGGGATTCGATCCTGGATCTCCAGGATCGCGCCCTGGGCCAAAGGCAGGCGCCAAACCGCTGCGCCACCCAGGGATCCCTATTACTTTTATTTTATTGAAATATTTGTGAATGTGGATAAGCTTGTATATGTGTTTAGAATTCATAGTAATACATGTTCTCATTAATGTATTTTTGACTATATTTTACAGATAGGATGTCAGCTTTAGGAGAAGAAGATAGTTCACCTTGGGATTCTGAGGTACTGTCTTTTATTATTTTAAAATATAAGCAATGAGTGATATTGTAACAAAAAGCGATGCTTAGACTTTATGCTCTCATGTCTGTTTTTGCCCATAAAAACAAATTCCTTATACATTTTACCTGTAATTGATAATTATGTACTAAATATGTTAATAGAGTTCTGCTAATTTGCAAGCTTAACTTAGTGAAAGGTGTGTGGTAGTGTGGCAGAAAACTGAGCTTAGAAGTGTTAAGGAATCAGGATGCCTGGGTGGCTCAGTGGTTGAGCATCTGCTTTCTGCTCCGGGCACGGTCCCAGGGTCCAGGGATTGAGTCCCACATTGGGGTCCCTGTGGGGAGCCTGCTTCTACCTCTGCCTGTGTCTCTGCCCCTCTGTCTCTCTCTCTCTCTCTGTGTTTCTCATGAATAAATAAAATCTTTAAAAAAATTGTGTTAAGGAATCTTTTTTTTTTCTATATTTCATCCATTTACTCATGAGAGACATATACACAGAGAGGCAGAGACACAGGCAGATCACGCCTGGAGCTGAAGGCAGATGCTCAATCACTGAGCCACCCATATATCCCGAGTTAGTTATCTAAAAAGCTAAAGAATAACTCTAGGTCAATCTATGGTGAAATGTATGATTCTGTGGTGTGTATAGATGTGGAAAACTTCTAATGTGATCTAGACAGAGTTTGGATTATAGTTTTTTAGAAGTATAAATCATATGCATTATGTTTATATATTAAATTTATTAACATGTGTATCTTATATATTATAATTTCCATATTCTATTTGTTATATATAAAGCATATATAGTTTGTGTATTATGCATAATGTATATTATATCATAATTTATATATTAACTATATATTTAAAGATTTATTAAAAGATTTTATGTATTTATTTATTGAGAGAGTGAGTGGGAGGGAGAAGGAGACAGAATCTGAAGCAGACTCCATTCTGAGCCCAGAGCCCATCACAGGGCTTAATTCCATGACCATGAGATCATGACCTGAGCTGATACCAAGGATTGGATGCTCAACCAACGGAGACATCCAGGCCGCCTAAAAGTATTATATTTGGATTGTCAGGTAGATCTACAAGGAGCATTGGGAGTATAATAACAATGTGGTTTAGTGGTACTCTATTCATTTATTTTTGTAAAGATTTATTTATTTATTTATTTATTTATTTATTTATTTATTTATTTATTTATGAGAGCGAGCGCATGCATGAGTGGGGGAAGGGGCAAAGGGAGAGGAAGAAGCAGGCTCCCCACTGAGCAGGGAGGCTGATGACTTGGGGCTTGATCTCAGAACTGACTCAGCCATCAAGGCCCCCATGATTTAGTGGTACTTTAAAAGGTAAAAACATTTTGTATAGTTAAAATAGCATGCATTGAGTACCTTTGTGGCAGCCCTACTTATAGTAACATAAGTATAAAGTAATGATGACTTATTCTAAGGTGACAACTATGGAAGCAGGTAAAAAGGGCCCATGTCTTAGTAGAGGCAGCTGCTCTACAATGCTGTGAGCACTGTAATTGAAGTCAAAAGATGTGCTGACATCCTGATTCTGTCACTCACTTGCTGTGGGATCTCAGAAAAACTTGCTTAACCATTTTTTGTTTGAATGTCAGTGACCTCATTCATAAAAATGATATTAATATGTACCTCTCAGGTATGTGTCATGACCAAATGTGGTAACAAAGGTGAAAGCACTTTGGTAAGGTGTAAGGAATGCTCTAGAAATACGAGACAAAAATGATCACAGCAGTATTTTAGTGATTTACTAAATATAGAGGGCATGGTTTTTAAATGTGAAGATTTCTGAAGGACAGTAAAATGGCAAGTGTTAAGAAAAGAATGGGAAAGTTAGAGTAGACAGGTGGATTTCTAATTTGGGGTATGTTAAGTTTCAGTAGCCTGTGATTAGAGACATTGTGTAGGTGTACAGTTGGCCCTTGAGCAAGATGGGCTTGAACTGCGTGATTAGAGACATTGTGTAGGTGTACAGTTGGCCCTTGAGCAAGATGGGCTTGAACTGCGTGTCGATTTACAGATGCTTTTCGATACAGTATTTTCTTAATGTAGCTTCCCTTCCTTATGATTTTCTTAATAACCTTTTCTTTAGTTTATATTTTAAGGATATAGTGTATAGTACATATAATATACAAAGTTTGTTCATTGCCTTTACGTCATTGGTAAGGTCAACCTCAGGTTATAATTTACTTGACCTTCCATGCTCAGTTTACCGTCAGTGGCCAAATGAGGGTTAAGATCTAGCTTAGATCTAGAGAGCATATATGTGAGTCTTTTATTGAAATATTTTGGTTTTTCTTACACGTTTCCTATTTTTAAGTCTAATTGCTCTTAAAGTAGGAAATTCAATAAGAGATGAGTAGCTAAGTTTTGGGGGAATCAAAAGTCATTTGTGGATATTTGACTGTGTGGCCATCAACACCCTCAGCCCTTGCATTCTTCAGGGGCTGATAGTATAGTGATTTGGTACTTAGACCTTCTCAGTGAGATGAGGATGATAATTATGTTTTAGAGAGAGAGAGAGAGAGAGAGAGAGAGAGCACGCACGTTGTGAACAGGTGGAGAGGAGCAGAGGGAGAGAGAATCCCAACTTTGCTTCATGCTCAACACAGAGCCCATTGTGGGGTTTGATCTCAAGACCCTGAGACCATGACCTGAGTTGAAATCAAGATTTGGACTGAGCCACCCAGGCACCCCCTCAGTGAGATGATTTTCAATGTTTCGACCTTAAATACATTTCTGTTACTGAATACTAACTATGACCAGGCTGTACAGGTTGTAGTGGTAGGAGCAGAAAAATAAGGAAACTGATCCATTATAAATCACTGTAAGTGTTTTCATGTAAAAAGAAAAAATGGAAATGTTAGTTTAGGGAATATTGGAGGCGTTTGTAGTTAGGATGGGGAGGAGAATGGGAGTGGAATTTTGGTAGTGAGAAAAGATCTCTCTGAGTGTGGCCAGAGCTGCCAAGTGAAGGGTGGGAAGGACCAGTCGCAAGAATGTCTTGGAGAAGGACATTCTGGACAGAGAGACCATGGAGCACATCTGTTCATTTTACTCTAATATCTTAGAATGACCAGGAAGCAGGAAGACTCACCCCATTGTTATAATCATTGTTATTTTTGTGTGTAGAAAAGAAGCTGAGCGTACTAAAACAAATGCCTGGTACCTTTTAGGTGATTAATCAATAATCATGCTCTTTTTGCATGAGTGAGTAAGATGAAAGAAGTTTATTCAGTAAAGATACAGAGAACGCTCTTAGAAGTGAGAGGGGTCCCGACAGGGTTGCCCTCAATAAATGTAAAAGAATTCTTATAAATAAAAGATTCTTTTATTTATAAAAAATAAATTCTTATCAATAAAAGAAAAGAATTCTTCCCTTCTGAAAGCTTACTATACTTTTTTGAAGCATTTCATACCTGTATCTAAAATATTTTGCTATTATTTAAACATAATTTCAAGAAAAGTTTTTCTTCCTGCTTTGCCATTTCATTCAACCATTTTTTTCCTACCAATAAAAATTCCAAGCTTTTGTTTATCTAAGTGAAGGAGCAGCTACCACAGTGTTCTGTTTATACTCAACATGGTGTACTCCAAGGTTTCTTATCATGCCAAGTATCTTATGTTAAGACTAAAAAACTTTCTGCCATTAGGAACAGGTTAAATTTATAGCAAATATAGTTATTAAAGAATTTGTTTCAATACATAGTTTTACTGTCCTTTTATCCTGGTGGAAAATACAAAGTAGAGTCAGGTGTTTTGTTATTTCCTTGATGAAATGTACGTATAAGTCAGTCTTCTTGTCTGTGAAAATATTTACTCTGGCCTTCCATGTTCAGTTTAGAGTTAATGACCAAATGAAGATAAAAAGATGCACTTAATTGAGAGAGCATAGATGAGGTTTTTAAATGTGTTGGTTTTCAATACATGCTTCTCTTATTTGTATGTCTGATTGTGATTAAAGTAGAACATTCGAATATTTTCTTAGAAAAGGATTTGGAAATCTTTATGCAACTCACTATTGATGTTGATTTTAACAGAGTATTTCTGCAAGATTTCCAAAGAAATCTGTTGATTGTTTACCTGGAGCTGCAGATCAACAAGGGCAAAGTATATTCAATGAACAAGTAGAAGGTAAGAATTGTATTTTATAAAAAGTCATTTGACAGAATGTTGATTTAAAACAGAAATTCTCACGTATCCTAATTTCCAAAGAAAATCACCTATTAAATGCTTAGAGAGAAAGATGTGAAAAGGAGGTAAGTTCTATATTTTATCAGGTGTCAGCTGCAGATTAGATTGAGAGTACCGCTAAAGGAGCTAAATTACTGGTTCCATTTCCAGGTATTCCAAGACCTAAGGAACGCCTGGAAATAGTTGGAAAAGAGCAAAGAGGGAATGATGAGAATGGCTGAGAGTACAGGGAGTAAATGGAGGAAAATTAAGCAGCGCTTTATAGTGGAAGGTGGTAAAATAAAAGAATTCTTTTAAAAGGAAGAGCAGGGGATCCCTGGGTAGCTCAGTGGTTTGGTGCCTACCTTCAGCCCAGGGCATGATCCTGGAGTTCCGGGATCAAGTCCCACATCAGGTTCCCTGCATGGAGCCTGCTTCTCCCTCTGCCTGTGTCTCTGCGTCTCTCTGTCTCTCTCTCTCTCTGTCTCTCTCTGTGTCTCTCATGAATAAATAAATAAAATCTTAAAAAATAAAAGGAGCAAATTTCTTGAAATGTGGGGATAATATCAGGTGAGCTTCCAGTACCAAAACTTGTCGGAGTAGTATACCAAAATTTTCCCACTCTTAACAGTTTTTCTCACTGTTGGGAAGACATTATGGATTGACCTAGCTGATTATGCAGAGCTATGTCCTAGTCAGCTATAAATGTATATATGTTAGGGGTGCCTGGGTGGCTCAGTCAATTGAAGGTCTTCTTTTGGCTTGGGCCATGATCCCCGGGACCTGGGATGGAGCCGTGCTGAGCTGGGAGCCTGCTTTTCCCTCTCCCTTTGTCTGCTGCTCTGCCTGCTTGTGCACGCTCTCTCTGTGTCAAATAAATGAAAACATCTTTTAAATAAATAAATATGTGTACCTCAATGTCATATAAAATGGTGTTACTTTGTAAGTATCATTTCGTGCAAAAAAAGAGAATTGGAAGGAAAAAGAGAGCAGGCTCAATTAGGGGGAGATCAAGGAAGCTTTAGCCCTGATAAAAATTCCGTTAGAACATTTATGACTTTTAATACGTCTTCACTTTCAGAATTGATAGTGATGAACTTGAGGCTTGATCATAGAAGGTTAAGGTAAAGGAATACGGCAACAGGGTTCAGTATGACCCAGGATTTCTCAAATTATAGTTAATCGCCCGAGACCTTGTTAAAAATGCACACTGTGAACAGCAGGTCTGGAATTCTGCATTTTGACCTCTCAGGTGATGCCAGTGGCAGTGGTCCTTGGGTCATGTGCTCAGTAGCATGGGTATAGACTTCTCTGTAGAGAAATCTGGAAGAGCTGTTAGATAGTTCAAGACATAGCAGGGCCAAGAAAAAGCATTATTTTGTTTTTATTTCTGAACATGTTTATAACCAGAGGGGAGCAAGGAGATACAGAAATAGAAGGTATAGATGTATGATACTATTGCTAAACAAAGAGGAAAGAAGTGGTGGAGAAAATCCATAAAAAGGTTGTAAAAGCAAAAAAAAAAAAAATCAAGACCATAGATCACAAATTAGTTTTTAAAAAGATTTATTTATTTATGTTAGAGAGAGAGTGAGCGAGCAGGGAGGGGGGCAAAGGGAGAGGAAGAGAGAGTCCTTAAGCAGACTCCCTGCCGAGTGAGGAACCCACCATGGGACTTAATCCCAGGACCCCGAATTCATGACCTGAGCTGAAATCAAGAGCTAAGACCTCCCACTGACTGGGCCACCCAGGTGCCCCCAGAAATTACTTTTGAAGACAGGGGATAGTGAAGGGAAAGAGGGAAAAATGAAAAACGTCTTAGCTAGGAAATTTTGGAGTTGCTGAGGAAACTCTAGAGAATTCACTTTTTTTTTTTTTTTTTTTTTTTTTATGACAGACCTAGAGAGAGGCAGAGACACAGGCAGAGAGAGAAGCAGGCTCCACGCAGGGATCCCGGCATGGGACCAGATCCTGGGTCTCCAGCATCACACCCTGGGCTGATGGTGGCACCAATCCTTTGTCCCCTGGGGCTGCCCGAGAACTCACTTTTTAGATAGCTTGAGTTTATTTGTACTGACACAGATTAGATCACAGCTGCTCCACAAAGAATACTGAGAGCAAATGGAGTGCTGGACTTGGGATAAAACATAGCCACCATTCATCTTCCTCAAATCTGTTGGACCTCAAAGATACATGTTGCTTTGATATTCGTTATTCAAATGAGATTAATTTGAATATGGAAGCATGGGTGTCTATTTTTCAGATAGCTCATTTTGGGGGATGATAGCTGTTTCAGACAAACCGTTTCAAGACTGACATAGTCTACCAAATCAAACTAATTTTGGAAACAAAAGAAATCATAGGGTCCATTCCTTAAATGCTAAAATTGTTACTATCAATAAATAAGACACTGATTTTGAAATACAAAAGATTTTTAGTATCTAAAAATTTGGTGGCAATTAAATTGATTTTTTTCATTTTGGTAGTCATAGTTCCATATTGAAAGCTTATTATACATTATTTCTTAGATGTGTTTTATATACCTTCTTGCATGTGTGGGTCAAGAAACTTTAACATGGCTAAACTAGAGGATACAAGAAATGTAGGCATACTAGTGGCCCACATGGGTATAGACAAAAGTGAATACTTTTATTGACTATTATCCTACAAGTATATCCAGGCTGATCAATTCATAACACTGTTTTCAGTGAAAAATAAATTACGCATTCAGTAAATTATGCATTCATCATAACTGCGTACTGCCTAAATTACGGGACAAATTGAAGAACATGGCAAATACTTGTAGTAGAATGGTATCGATGATTCTGCTGTACTGCAATCAGGATGTGCTGTTGCATTCTACCATCAGCTTTCACATTTATCCTCTCAGAGTCATCATTTGTTCCTCTGATTAAAGATTGCTTTTCTCCCCCATCAATCAGCATGTTCACGTTGGTATATGTGCAACATTTAATGATTTCTGTTTTAGTTATTTCATTTGAAACATCATCTTACTTTTGGAATCCTAACTGCATGTTAATGTTGAACATATATTTCTATTATTTTCTAGTATTTATAATGGGTTCCTATTTCTGTCTTGTCGCTGTCTTAATCCACCTTTCTGTTTGGAGAATCAAGACCAAAACCTAATGTAATCACTTTGAAAGCCAAGCCTGAGGATTCAGCTTAATCCTAACTGCATGAATGTATAGTTGGCTTTCATATTTATGTATAATTAACTACATGTCCCTTTTGTGTTTTAGATTCCCCTGGAAAAGATCTTCACTGGGAGGTAAAGCTTTTGTATTTTTATTTTGAGTTTTTAACTACAGATTGTATGAAATGTACATGGTCTTAATCATATTGTTTCAATACCCATCCAGTCGACCGCTAAAGTGAAAGATTCTGTTCCTAATGAAGGAGTAGCAACGAGTGATAAGCAAACATCCATGTCAGGTAAGTTTTACAGTACAAATATACCTGTGGAAAGATGTACACTAAAATATTGAAATGCCCATCGTCGTCTTATACCAAATTCTTCTTTGTGTGTATGTGAGGCAAATTTAATTGAAGGATTTGACATAAATAAGGTAGTTTTATTTCATTGCTGACATCTATGTTTGAACAAAAGATATTTACAAGCATAAGAAAAAGAGATTTTAAAAATATAAGCTTTAGTTCAAGTTTCTACTATTAAGTTTTGAAATCCTAATGTTCCAGGTTTGGAATTCCTTTACTTCTAAGGGATTCCCAGAAGTTAATTATTAGACTCTAAGATTTTTCCGGTGTTCACCATACTTATTTGAATTCTGACTTTTACCTAGAGTAAAGCTTCCCTTGCTAAACATGTTAGTTGTGTTTTAACTTCATTTCATCTTTATATTGTTATATTGATCATTTTAAGCCAAACACTTGTTCTGATTGTGTGTGTGTGTATGGTGACTTTGATGATTAGAAATGTGGGAAAGAATTAGTTGTATCTTAATATTTGGTAGACACAATCTTTTAAAAAAGTAATTCTGAACTTTTTCGGCCTAGGGTCCTTTTCTACTATTTAAAAATTATTGAGAATTCCAAAGGACGTCTGCTTAAGTGGGTTATATCTGTTGATATTTACAATCTTAGAAATTAAAACAAACATTTAAAACACAAAGATAAAAAAAAACACAAGGATACACAATCTCATGTTGCTAGCCATTAGAGCTGTGATCCACTAATCATGTGAGTTGTGATGCTATCACACATTTTATCTTTCGAAAACTTTATTGTACACTTAATAAGAGAATGAGAGTGAAAATGTCAAATAACATTTAGTACGATTGTGAAGATAGTTTTCACCTCTTGGATTTTGTGAATCGATGGATCTTGGACCTCTGGGGATTCTCAGATGACATGGGAGAACTGATTTAAACCATGTACAGGGTTCATGGATACAAAATGATAAAGGGGCCCTTGTGATGCAATGGGCATTACAGTTCCATTTCTGCATTTCTTGCTTCTTTCTTTCCCTTGACTTAAGAGGTTTAAATCAGACCAATCTTGTTTATAAAGGGACAATAGTTTTGTTAATATATTCATTTTCTGTTTCATGGCGCTGTAGTTTTGGATCTCAGTGTGGACTGAGACTTAACTTTGTTTTTACACGGAAAGGATTATATTACCCAAGTCTTTCATTTCTCATATAAATATGTATTTGTCCAAAAATTAAATTCTGAGGATGTTGGTGCATTGAGGAAAGACCCATCTCATTATTATTAAGGTAGTACCATTCAGTATAAGTTTTTAAAACCTCACGTCTTTAGAACACAAAATGCATTAAACATAAAATAAATGATTAGACATCAGTTTTGTTACTAAAAACATTCAGACCTTGAAGACTCGTAATTATCAATGAACAGAGCTTTTATGGAGTATAGAATATGTAATAGAGCTTGGTGAGTGAATTAAACTATATAATACTCGAGAATGAAAAAGAGAAAATGAGAGAGAGTTAAATACATCTGTGTGAATGCCAAGTATAGGACATGTAAAATATAATTAGCTATGAATGAGTAGTAAGTAGTGTGTCTGGGAGAAGAGCAGGACTTGTGGCTGTTTCTCTAAGAAAAGAATTTGTACAAATTCGTTAAGTTCGTATTGTTTACATTCTAATAAAGGAAACTTTGTTTTCAGATTCTTCTGATTGGGATTCTAGTTTGTCCCTCAGTAATGAGACTTGTCAAAGAACTGGGGATTTGAAAGTTGATAATAAATGCCCATTTGTATCACAACCAATGATCAAAAATGACTCAGCATCCACAGAATTTGGACAGACGACCTTAGTAGATAAAGAAAATATTAGTATTGGAGCTGTGTTTCAATTAGAGAATTCTATGCTCCATGGCCTGTGTGAATCACTGCTACCAGAAAATAGAGAGAAAAAAAAAAAAAAAAAAAAAAAAAAAAAAAAAAAAAAAGAATCCTAGAGAGTTCAGTGTCCTCATGATTTCACCATAGTTCTGATTTTTCAAAAATATTTTGTGGTAAAATTTGTGGTAACTCCTTTCATACAACCTACCACCAAACAGCATCTTTTAGCAAGACATTTTTGCATTCTTCCTCTAACCAAAGCCACATATAAATAAAGAAAGAGAATTAGGAGAAAATAATTTCTTTTAGGCTCGTATTCATCATTCACTTGAGAGTGGGTAGCAGGATTAGATTTAGAATTTGGGGACCAGTTGGGAAAACTAGGTAGAGATGTAAAGATTGTTAACTCACTACATAGTTTCTTAGCTTTATTTTTATAGCTCTAAATTCATAAGTATTGGATACTATATTTACTGTAACAAAAAAAGCACCTTCCCAAACAGAATGTTAAAATATTTCCTGTATTCTCTATGACTTTATTTTGGAGTTGACTTTCCCAGCAGTAATGGTAATCATTGAGAATTTACTACATAGTACCCTCTTCTCAGCTATGTAGGCATAGTCCATCTCCTTGTTTGATTATTTTTATTTTACTTTTTTAGAGAGTGTCAGAAAGTAAGGAGGGAGGGATGGGCAGAAGGAGAAAGAATCCCAAGCAGGCTCCACACTCAGCATGGAGCCCAATGCGGGACTCAGTCTCACAACCCTGAGATCATGACCCGACTGAAATCAAGAGTTGGATACTTAACTGGCTGAACAACCCAGGTGCTGTTTTATTATTTTAAATGAGTAAAGAGTTCCCAAGGAGTATTGGTTTTAAGTATCGAATATCATTTAAAAATAATATATGGAAAGTCAGTTGTAATTCTACTAAGATTTTCAGTTGATTAACCACATCTAACGTGTGTTCTACTTAATGTATCAGTTACTCCAGTGTCCTTTATCAGTCATATGATCACGTGTGTACTAACATATCGTATAATATTTTTTCACTCCTGTAGTTTTATGTTATTTTCTTCTTCTTTAATGAGAATTAACTCATTTTCTAAAGATTTTCAGTTATCTCCAGGAGTAGTGAGTATACACTGTAAATCCAGATTTATTGATCTATACAAGTGACTTGTTTGCTGTTACTTCTTCATGAGCTTGGTAGATCCAAGAAGCAAGACTTTAAAAAGAAAACACCTGTAGGCTCCTGTACCACAGGAAAATGTGAAACAAAAAAATTACAAAGTACATGCAAGCAACATAAAACAGTTCATGTAAATTATATCTCTTTTCCCTTGATGCCAGGATTGTTGTTGATTCACTTAGTACATATTTATTCTGTACTGAGCCCTGATAATTTTATATTCTGAATATTTCTGGAACCATTCTGTCAGTTCAGGTGTGTATCATCTTTGTTTTGCATTACTACCTTCTAATTCATCTCCTGTCTTTGATCACAGTGCCCCTCACACTCATCCCTCCCCACAGTATTTAGAGTGATCTGTCTCAAATACACATACGACCGTGAACCACTGTTGAAAACATATTTATGTCCAGGCATCTTAAAATTAGAAAGCTTTCATAATCTTGACTTGACTTCTTGACTTCTGCCTAAGTCTTCATCTTTAGCCCTTTATACCGTCTGCCCTTATCTCTGGTATCCTGAACTGCTAGTGATGTCTTCCTCTTTGATCCCTCTATTTTAGACAAATATTTACCCTGTTGTGTGCTTCTCTCCCTTGTCTTACTACAGCCTTGCATGCTCTCCCCATTTTCTGCCCTCTAATCCCTTTGAATCTGTCTGACGTCACTGTTGCAGTCTCAGTTTAGGCATTATGTCTAGGAAAGCTATTCCTGACACCTTATATCCACATGCTTCTTTAAACCCGGTCCCGTATCTATCACTTAGTGGGAACTCCGTAAGTAAGCACTAAGTAACATAAAGACTGTTTACACAAAGATGATTTAAGAGATTGTCCCCCTACAGGGATGCCTGGGCGGTTCATTCTGTTGAGTGTCCAGCTCTTGATTTCAGTTCATGTCATATCTCAGACTTGTGAGATGGAGCCCCAGGTGGGGCTCAGCACTGGGGGTAGAGCCCGCTCAAGATTTTCTCTCTCCCTCTGCTCCTCCCCCCCCGCCCCGGATTGTCAAGATTGTCCCCTACAGTGTAGGAGCAAAAGAACTAGATATATAAAGAAGTAGTTTACAGTTCAGGTGGTGAAGGTACACTAGAAAACCTGTAAGGTATTAAGGTAACCCCAAAGAAAGAGATACATCTTTATCTGGGAAAGGATAGCTATAATCAAGGATGACTTTACACAGCAGTCTGAGTCCTAAAGGATGCAAGGAAATTTGTCAAGTAGTAGAGGAAAATAATTTCAGAAACGTTTACTCATCGGGGACATACACCCATAGGGAGGATATACACTGATAAGGACATGAAAAGTACTAATAATTTTGGAAATGATGAATAACGTTGTGGTTGAAGCTTAGGGTGTTGTTTAAGAGGTACTGTTACAAAATAGAGAATAATCTCTTGTGATTTTATATGTTTCTACTGTATTTTAAACTTTTGTTTCTTATTGTTTTGTTCATGGATATTAAGTCGATGAATTTGTGAATGAATCTTGGAGATGTTTGTGTGCCTTTAACCTGGTGACATTGAGTATTTCTCAAATGGTTTGTTGAAATTTTAGATAATTAAAAGTATTTCTTAAATATTCAGCTAAAGATGAATTTAAACTCTTAAGTGATAAATGATATTTTCTATTTTTATAGAGGTAATAGCTTTTATCTAACCATTCTAAGTAGTCCATTTTAACTATATATATAGATTTGTCATCAGAACCAGACTTAGAAGTGGCATCAGAGCAAGAGCAAGAGCAAGAAAGGCCTGATGAAAGTGAAAATAACCACCCCCAGGTATGTAAAATTTTAAATTTAAATTTCTGATTTTGTATTGTTTTCCCTGCTTTTCTAATATTACACGGTTCAAGTGAAATTATCTTTGAGTGGCTATATTGAAGTCAATAGAGTATAATTTAATATTTAGTTTTTATAAAATTTTACGAGTTACAAAACTCCAAAATGTTGTAATTTTTAGTAACTAAGTTAAGCTAAACTTCACCCTTGGAATTTAGGCAAAAAAAAATTTCTTTTGAGGCAAAAATAATTCTAAATATTCTTTGCTTCTTCCATTTTTGTAACTTCTTTACATGATAAAGAAGGTAGCATCAAATATTGAGTCATGTCTAAGCAGTTGAAATTATGAGCAGTATAACAATGATGACTACTGACTTAGACTCATGTACAGGGAGTGATTATTCTCAGTGGTTCAAAGTGCCTAGTTCTCTATTTCCAGTTACATATGCCAAGATTAGAGATTTATTCTGCTTTGTGATCTCTGTGTAGTTGACTTCAGAGAATGGGGTCATGAAATCACTACGATCGCCTGTTGTCGAAACGCACCTTCCAGGATGGGAGCTTTGTAATTGGATTATAAACAATAACTCTTTCCGTTATTTCATTTCAGCACAGGAAATCCATATTATTAATATTTTTCTTATCCACTGTCAGTGGACATTACAATATATTAGAGGTGGATACAAGCAGATAATCTATAGCAATGTCTAACACTATCATAGTATATAATTTAAATTAAAATATAGGAATTTGTTTTTCTTTGATTGATGTTAATTGACATTTGCCCCCCAAAAGTGTAGTTTGCCTATCATCTAGGTTTTAAATTTGTAAAAACTCCTGAAATGCATTGTAGGAACTCACTGTTTAAGATACAAGGGGATAAAATGTTTTTAAGTTTGTAACATTAAAAATCCTCTGATTCATTTTTTGGTAGATGTAAGTGTATTGAATTGTTTAGTGAAGAGAAACCTGACAAAATATAAGTGAATGGATTTATGCTTTTCTTCTGTCCTCACTTCTTAGTTATAATCAGTGTCTTAGGAGCAGCTGATAACTAAATTTTAATCATTTTCTAATTTTTCTTTGTCCGCATTTGATTACCTAAGGATAAAGTTATTTCACAAACGTGTATCCTGGCTGAAAAGACATCTGAAAGCCAAACCAAGCAAATTAACTTTCCACTTGTGCAACTGCAAGATATGGCTCGAGAACCAGAAATGCATATGGAATGTGATAGACAGGATGATAGATCTGTACATTCAGAACATCTTCGTGCACACAAGAAGTATGAGGAGATATGGAAGAAACAAGGCAAATTAGAGTGGAAAAATAATGTAAAGCTCATGAGCAGAGAGTTAACTCAGGAGATTGGTAAAACTTGTGAAAAGTACCAAATTATTACTCATCCTAACGTAGAGCCACTACATGGTAATTCTAAAGAAGCAGACTCAAAGGAAATAGCTCCGCAATTGACAAAAGTTACACTTGATTGTGAGGAAAAAGATGAATTTGGAGTGTCTGTCTTTGTAGTACCTCAGGCCTTTCCTGAACAAAAAGAGCCTCGTCTCGAAAATGCTGTTCTCTCTCATTCATACTCTGGGTCTCCAGACTATGCTTGCCAGTCATCTTCTAAGCTTTCTTTCCATGAAGATGATAACAAACCAGGTGAGCATGTTTTTAACAAAAATGAGAGTCTTGATAACGATACAGAAGATAAAAAAGTAAGGAACCCACTTGTTACATTTGAAGTGAAAGAAGACCAAGAGTTTGACCTGCAGATGGCCAAAAGTTTGAACCAAAATACCACTAATAGTAAATTAGACACTGGCTATATCCCTCCGTATAGTGACCCAGAAAGCCTTTTTGATTTGCAGCTTGCCCACTCCAATGTGGTGAAACAAATGATTCAGAAGAAAAGGCATGATACTTCTGCTATTACAAACACTTACAAGAAAACAAAACCAACACGAGACTCTTTCCAGAAGCCATTATATGCAGATAATGACAGTACTTATAACTATAAAAGTATGGAACCTGCATTAGAAATTGTGAGTTCTTCACCACGTCCTTTCAGAACATCAGAAGTACATCAAAAAGAAGAATTACAGCAAGATAAGCAAAATCTGCAAAGGTTTAAGAATGAGAAAGGCATGTTACAAGTAGAACTCCTGGCTTTGGAAAAAGAGAAAGTTGAACTTCAAAAAGAGGTAGAGAGATTCACTTTGCTGCTGCTCTTTTGTTTTTTGTCTTTGTCAATTATCTGAGCCATTTTGATTTTCCACTTATGAAAAAAGCTCGTGTATAAAATGGGGTTGTCTCAATATATAATTGTGTTCGGAAATAGATGATTTCTGCAATCTAAATGATAGGAATGCAGGAAAACATATGATTTGTGTGCCTTAAGTTTCTTTCAGTTTCCCAAGTGGCATGTGAACTGGGAAGCTCTTTTCGCTATGCACCCTGTGACCTCATGAAGCAGAGTAACCGTAGAGAAAATTGCTTTAAAAATGCGATTATCATGGGGTGCCTGGGGGGCACTGCCAGTTGAGAGTCCTAGTCTTGTTTCTGGCTTGGGTTGTGTTGTCAGGGTTGTGAAGAGGGAGCCCCACGTCGGGCTCTGTGCTCAGCATGGAGTCTGCTTGAGTTTCTCTCTCCCGATGTGCCTCTCTCATGCTATCAGTCTTGTTCTCTAAAATACATAGATCTTTAAAAAATATATCATGATATCTAGGGTTTTTATCTATTGGCTTAAATATAAGTTGCACTTCCAAACAATAAATGGAAAAGAAGTTGGGATGCCTGGTTGGCTCACCTGTTGAGCGTCTGCCTTTGGCTCAGGGTATGATCTGGGATTAATTAAGTCCCACATCAGGTTCCCTGCATGGAGCCTGCTTCTCCCTCTGCCTGTGTCTCTGCTTCTCTCTGTGTGTGTCCCTGATGAATAAATAAATAAAATCTTTAAAATAAATAAATACATAAAATGGAAAAGAAGCAATAACTAAGGGAAGGGATATAAACAAATATTTCATCTAAACCAATCTATTTATTGCTTCTGTTTATTGCTTCAGTGTGTTTAGTCTTCTCTGCTTTCCTCAAACTCTTGGAACTTCAAATTCCAACACGACCACTTTGAGATATTTTTTTTTAATTTTTTTTGAGATATTTTTAATAACAAATATTTGCATCATCACCAGTTTTTTTCTCCCATGTTTTTAAAAACAGACTCCTTTTTTCTTTTAGTATTTATTTATTTATTTATTTATTTATTTATTTATTTATTTATTTATTTATTTATAGGGTGTGAGCAGGGTGAAGGTTAGAGGGAGAGAGAGAAAGGGAGAGAAGCAAACTCCCCAGTGAGCGTGGAGCCTGAGGCGGGGCTCGATCCCATGACCATGAGATCATGACCTGAACTGCAATCAAGAGCTGGATGCCCAACTAACTGTGCCACTCAGGCATCTCCTCCACATTAAAAAAAAAAAAAATTAAGATTTTATTTGACACACACAGAGAGAGAGAGAGAGAACACAAACCGGGGAGCAGCTGTAGGAGGGAAAGGGAGAAGCACGCGCCCGGCGGAGCAGGAAGCCTGATGCACAGGTCTTGATCCCAGAACCCGGGGATCATGACCTGAGCCAAAGGCAGATGCTTAGCTCAGCCACCCAGGTGCCCACGTGTGTGTGTGTGTGTGTGTGTGTGTGTGTGTGTATACACATGTGTTTGTTTAATCACCATTCTCAGGTGTTTCTGTTGAGTCAAACCTTTACATTATGTTTAATAAAGTATGATATATTTTTACACATACGACTTTTATCATGTAGGTAGCATAGATTTTCAGCAAACCTTCAGTATTTGACTCTAAGGGAGAATACTGATGTTTGAGGTGAAAAATAAACAAAATCTAGAGATATCCTCCTTTAAAATAAAAATTAGCTAAGCGCCTCATCCCCAATTAAGGTATTAAATTACTGTGCCAAAGTCACACTTTTAGCATAGCTGATAAATAAACTTGTTGGGTCATTTATTTGATTCAGCATTAAGGAATTGTATCATCTCTTTTGATGCTAGGTGATGCCACTTGAGGAACTTTGTACAAATCATGTAACCTTTTTTGGTTTTATTCCCATTATCAATAGAAAATGGGATTAAAGTTGATAATTACTTTTATACCCTCTAGCTATAAAATTTTATGGTTATGGAATGTGAAATTTGGGGAGCATTACTCATTTCCCAAAATTCTACACTAATATCAGTTTTGCTCTGCTTTTATGTTGTGGTGAACTTTGGTTCCCATATTTTAATGAACACTGTGCCTTTTTTGATAGCCCTGGGATCCAAATGAAAAAAGAATTATAAAAGGCAGTTGGGGAAAGAATAGCTCAGTGCAGAAATGGAAAGCTTCCTATTTGTTCCTGGAGCATCACAATGTCACATCCTTTAAATCTGTGTAAGCAAAATCCAGATGGTAAAGACAGAGGAGGACAGATTTTTGTGTGTCTTTATTTCTTTGGATCTGCTGGTCAGATGGGGTGAAGTTGGGAATGTTAGGTGGCAAAGTGTAGATATGAACACAAAATTAAAGTCCTTTTTGAAATTCTGGAAAATTATGTTGTTCTGTTCAAACAGAAATGAAGCAGAATTTCCAAAAATTGCAATTACATGCAATGATAAAGTTAAGCGCAAGATAGTTTTATTGATTAAAATTATGATAAACTAAGAGTCAAATGATACAATTAATGAAAAAGTTCTTTTTAATGAATAAAGTTGTAATAGTTATTCTAGTATCAAATTTCCATTCAAGAGTGGAAAAGAAAGGAAGAAGCACAAGACTAGTAAAATGGAAGGAGCAGAAAAGATATATGCTGCTGCTGCTCCTGCTGCTGCTCCTGCTGCTGCTCCTGCTGCTGCTCCTCCTGCTGCTCCTCCTGCTGCTCCTCCTGCTGCTGCTCCTGCTGCTTCTGCTGCTCCTGCTTCTCCTGTTGCTCCTGCTGCTCCTCCTGCTCCTGCTGCTCCTCCTGCTGCTGCTTCTGCTGCTCCTCGTGCTGCTGCTGCTCCTCTTGCTGCTGCTCCTGTTGCTGCTCCTGCTGCTCCTCTTGCTGCTGCTGCTGCTCCTGCTGCTGCTGCTCGTGCTCCTGCTGCTGCTGCTCCTGCTCCTGCTGCTGCTCCTCTTGCTGCTGCTTCTGCTGCTGCTCCTGCTGCTGCTGCTCGTGCTCCTGCTGCTGCTGCTCCTGCTGCTGCTGCTCCTGCTCCTGCTGCTGCTCCTCTTGCTGCTGCTTCTGCTGCTCCTCCTCCTGCTGCTGCTGCTGCTCTTGCTGCTGCTCCCCTTGCTGCTGCTCCTCCTGCTGCTGTTCCTGCTGTTCGTCTTGCGGCTCCTGCTGCTGCTGCTGCTCCTCTTGCTGCTGCTCCTGCTGCTCCTGCTGCTCCTCGTGCTCCTCGTGCTGCTGCTGCTCCTCTTGCTGCTGCTCCTGCTGCTGCTCCTGCTGGTGCTGCTCCTGCTCCTGCTGCTGCTCCTCTTGCTGCTGCTGCTGCTCCTCCTGCTGCTGCTCCTGCTCCTCCTGCTGCTGCTCCTGCTCCTCTTCCTGCTCCTCCTGCTCCTCCTGCTGCTGCTGCTCTTGCTGCTGCTCCTGCTGCTGTTGCTCCTCCTGCTGCTGTTCCTGCTGTTCCTCTTGCGGCTCCTGCTGCTCCTGCTGCTCGTCCTGCTGCTGCTCCTGCTGCTCGTCCTGCTGCTTCTCCTGCTGCTCGTCCTGCTGCTTCTCCTGCTGCTCCTGCTGCTGCTTCTCCTGCTGCTGCTGCTCCTGCTGCTCCTCTTGCTGCTCCTGCTCCTGCTGCTCGTGCTCCTGCTGCTCCTGCTGGTGCTGCTCCTGCTGCTGCTGCTCCTGCTCCTCCTGCTCCTGCTGCTGCTCCCCTTGCTGCTGCTCCCCTTGCTGCTGCTCGTGCTCCTCCTGCTGCTCCTCCTGCTGCTCCTGCTGCTGCTCCTGCTGCTCCTCCTGCTGCTGTTCCTGCTGTTCCTCTTGCGGCTCCTGCTGCTCCTGCTGCTCGTCCTGCTGCTTCTCCTGCTGCTCCTGCTGCTGCTTCTCCTGCTGCTCCTCTTGCTGCTGCTGCTGCTCCTGCTGCTGCTGCTCCTGCTGCTCGTGCTCCTGCTGCTCCTGCTGGTGCTGCTCCTGCTGCTCCTGCTGCTGCTGCTGCTCCTCCTGCTGCTGCTCCTGCTCCTCCTGCTCCTGCTGCTGCTCCCCTTGCTGCTGCTCCCCTTGCTGCTGCTCGTGCTCCTCCTGCTGCTCCTCCTGCTGCTCCTGCTGCTACTGCTGCTCCTCCTGCTGCTCCTGCTCCTTGTGCTGCTGCTCCTGCTGCTCCTGCTGCTCCTCCTGCTGCTCCTGCTGCTCCTCGTGCTGCTGCTCCTGCTCCTGCTCCTCCTGCTACTGCTCCTGCTGCTGCTGCTTCTCCTCCTGCTCCTGCTGCTCTTGCTGCTCCTCCTGCTCCTGCTGCTGCTGCTGCTCCTCCTGCTGCTCCTGCTGCTGGACTAATTCAACAAAGAAAGAGTGGAAAAACTGATAACCACCTGTTTCCTACTACGCAGAATGAAGATTCTGATAGGTAAGCCTATAGCAATATTTAAACAGTAGATAATTATTATTTTTCTATAAAACAAATTCTATTTGGAGCTAATGTTCATGATTAACACATTTTATATTTTTAGTAGAGATATTCCACCCAGGGTGCTAAACAGAAAAAGGCAAAGACTGGTATGGTATCAATTTTTTTGCAGGCATAGTGATAAATATTTAATTAAAAAAATAATGTAGGTTAGCAAATGTGAGGGAGAAGTCATTCTTATACACTGTTGTTAGGTGAAAATTGTCAAATCCGTTGCACCTGAGTGGCTCAGTGGTTGAACGTCTGCCTTTGGCTCAGGTTGTGATCTCGGGGTTGTGGGATCGAGTCCTGCATCAGGCTTCCCATGAGGAGCCTGCTTCTCCATCTGCCCATGTCTCTGCCTCACTCTGTGTCTCTCATGAATAAATAAATAAATAGAAATTTTTAAAAGAGAGAGAAAGAAAATTGACAAATCCTTTCTGAAGGGTGATGTAGCAGTGCATTTGAAATTTCACATACGCTGTCCCTATATCCCAACGGCTTCATTGCCAGGAGTAGATCCTATAGGAGAACATGACTTGTGTGAACACTTAGACACACATATTCTAAGAACATTTATTATGTATTATTATATATATAAAATATGACAGATATATTAAGAGTACTTACATAAACATGTTACATATATATGTTAAGATTATTTATTACAGCATTCCCTTATCAAAAACTTGGAGGGAGTCTAACCATCCATAAGGAAGTAAGTTTTCACACCTATAAAATAATGCAGTGTGTGACTATTTGAGAAAATGAATTTAGGTCTGCAGGGTTTTGATTGTTTAACAAAGTATATATATATTTTTTAAATTTTATTTTTATTTATTCATGAGAAACACAGAAAGAGAGAGAGAGAGAGAGAGAGAGAGGCAGAGACACAGGCAGAGGGAGAAGCAGGCTCCATGCAGGGAGCCTGATGTGGGACTCGATCCTGGGACTCCAGGATCACACCCTGGACTGGAGGCAGGCGCTAAACTGCTGAGCCACCCAGGGATCCCCCAGAGTATATTTAAAGTGTTTGGTTTCATGTCTTACAGAAACTTTAGAATACTTTTAATATCTGCTAAGTTGCAAAAGGAAGTTACCTGCTACACTGGCACTCTATTACCAACAAAACTGCTCATTATTAGGTTTTTGGTTTTGGTTCCCAATGCATGAGTGCTCAAATGTTGGACTCTCAAATTGATCTGAATATTATTACGAAGAGATTTCACAGGGCAACTTGTCCCATATTGTGTATAAACATTTGATCCCTATGGTATAAACCAAGAGGTTGTTAATGCAATGGGGGAATCTTCTTTTTCAGGCACTTTGCATACATGCTATTATTTTTCCTTTAAAAATGTTTTTAAGATTATTTATTTGAGAGAGATAGAGTGTGAGTGCAGGGAGCGGCAGAGGCAGAGGGGGAAGCGGGGAGCCTGAAGCGGGGCTTGATCCCGGGACTCCAGGATCATGACCTGAGCCGAAGGCAGACGCTTTACCGACTGAGCCAACCAGGTACCCCTTATTCTTCCTTTTTAAAGACCATATATTTCAACATGCACCACACCAAATTTTTCAATAGTGACTTCATATTATACAATCTATGAAAATTCACTTTCCATTAATTCTAAACACAGTGGATCTATTAAAACATAAGTCAGATTATGTCCTCCTCTGCTCAAAACCTAATGGCCTCCCATTCACTCAGAGTACATGCTCAAGTTCTTTCTAACACCTACAAGGCCTTATGTGACTTGTTCATCTCAGGTCCCTCCCTATCCTTTCCTCCCTCTGTCTCTCTGATTTGAACTACTTTCTATCCCTTTCCTTCTGTTCAGCCACACTTGAATTTCTCACTATTCTTACCCCCACCCTCATTATAAACACTTCAGGCATACCTCTGTACTTGCTATAAACTCTCTGTGGAGTGCTTTTCTCTCACGTATCCTCATGGCTTACTCCTCGCTCCCTCTTTTTCTCCCTGGTTTTTGCTTCAAGGTCACTTTCTCAGTAAGGCCCTTCTTCGTTTATCCTGACTAGTATTTCGACCACCCCTTTCGCTATGACACATTGAAATTTGATTTCTCTGCTTTAGTTTTTCTCCTCTCATACTGTGTAGTTTGCCTAGGTAGTTTATTGTTACTATGTTTACTTTCCTCGTGAGCAGGATTTTTTCTGTTCATGGCCGTGTCCTCAGTGCTTAGAGAACATTCTAGCATATATAGTGCTATTCAGTAAATGTTGGTTGAGTGAATGGAGTTTAACCCGTGTGTATTGTTTTTAACATAATACCAATTCTCACTTAAACAGAAAAAAAGGTTGGCATGGGTCCATTCTGACCATTTAATGTGTCAGTTATCTGCATTTTGTGGATTATTTGGGCCTAATATTGTGGTTATTTACTACTTATTCTTTTACTGGTATTTATGTTAGTTTTAATTATAGTAGAATGGAATAAAGGAAGAGCAAACTTCATTTATGTTTCATTAAGGAAAATGAAATGTGGTGATAAATTATTATAGGACTTTAAACATTTTTGCCAAAGGATATGAGCCCTCAATATCTGAAATATAAAGGTGAAGTTGGAATTTACTGCTTACTAATAAGAGGGAGCTATGCTGGCTACTTACAGTCTTTTCTGACAGAGTAGTCTTCACTTTCTATATACAGTTTCAGGAAAAGTGGAGTTTAAGACTTGGGAGACTTTCAGAGAAATAAATGGTTTGTCATCATCTAAGCACCATGGTAATTTGGGTAAGACTGTTGTTGATTGGTTGGCACTCGAGGCATGCGTATTGGAGTGGTTTTGTCCCACATTGGCTATACTTCAGGAGGGAGAAGCTGACATTGGTTGGCTGGTGAGTGGGGACAGATGGCATTGATCATTACAAACATTTAAAACTGGTTCTGATGGGTTCTCGTTACCATGGCTGCATGTTAGCATTCCCCCGCCAACATCACTTTGAGGTATCTTTAACCAGTTGTTTTCTATTTAAAAGTTGCTTCTATTTAAATTTTTTAAAATTTATTTATTTATGATAGTCACAGACAGAGAGAGAGAGAGAGAGAGAGAGAGAGAGAGAGGCAGAGACATAGGCAGAGGGAGAAGCAGGCTCCATGCACCGGGAACCCGATATGGGATTCGATCCCGGGCCTCCAGGATCGCGCCCTGAGCCAAAGGCAGGCGCCAAACCGCTGCGCCACCCAGGGATCCCAAAAGTTGCTTCTATTAACTGTGTTCAAAATGAAAGCTATTTCATATCCATAATTACAGATTTACGTCTGAAATTTGGGTTGAGGAGAATTGTTTAATAATTGCTTTCAGGAAGATCCATCTTTTTTGGATGTTTAATTTAACTAGAAGAGTTATCTGTATGGCAATTTTAAAACAGTAATTGCTGGTTTTGTTTTTGTTTTCAGTGCCCTAAAGTTACTCAGTTAATAATCTCCTGTGGGAAAATTCAGTCTTTTTGTAAATTTACATGGCTGTATGCTCATAATATTTTCTTGCATGCATTTAGTCCATGAAAAAATATATATAATTTTCTGTTGGTAAATCTAGCTTTTTGTATTAGAATTAGATACTAGGCTAAAAGTATGCACAAGTTACCAAAACATTTTCTTTTTCTTTGTCCCTTTAAAATTATTTTTAAAAATTTATTTATTTGAGAGAGAGAGAGAGAAAGAAAAAGAAAGAAAGAAAAGAAAAGAAGAAAGAAGGAAAAAAAGAAAAAGGAGAGAGAGAGAGAGATGGAGAGAGGATCTCAAGCAGACCTGGGGGTGATTCCACAACCTTGAGATCATGACCTGAGCCAAAGCCAAGTCAGACACTTAACTGACTAAGCCCTTCCAGCTGTTCATTAAACTTCTCATTTTGTTTATGTAGTATATTCCTCATTTTATTGAATTAACTGTTTTTTAAAGCTTTTATACATTTATTTTAGCGAGAGAAAGAGTGTGTGAGCTAGGGGGGAGTAGCAGAGGGAGAGCGACACTGTGCTGAGTGTAAGCCTGATGCAGGGCTCAATCTCATGACCCTGAGATCATAGCCTGAGATGAAATCAAGCGTCAGACACTTAATTGCCTGACCCACCCAGGCACCCCTGAATTGGCTTTTTGTGTTTCCTGGCAGCTCCTTGAATTTTCTTAAGACTGAGATTTTGAAATCTATCTTGGATAAATTACAGATCTCCACGTGTCTGAGATTGATTACTGGACGATTATTGTAATCCTTTGTTGGTGTCATATTTCCTTGATTTTGTCATATCCTTTTGCATTGCTGTCTTTGCGTTTGAAGTAGCAGTCACCTCCTCCAGTCTTTAATGACTACCGCTCCCATGTGTCCAAACCTGATTGTTTTGCTCTGGTGGTGTGCTAGAACTTCTCTGCAGGAAAGCTGGTTTTCCACGAAGACTCTCTACCTCCATGGGTGATTATCTGAGTGTTTTCCAGGGGCTCCCAGATGGTGGCTGTGAGGGTGAGGGTGGCGCCAATTTATGGGCTTTTGCCAGGTCCACAGCTGGGAGTGTAGTGTGTATGCCTGTTACCTGATGCACGGGCAGATGAGACTTTTCCTCGGTCCCTTGGTGAATGGCCAGTGGTCCCCTTGATTCCACAGGTCCTACACAGGCAGTTTTGTTCCCACAAATGACATTGTATCATAATTGTATATGTGTATTTCCTTGCATATGGTTGCACTTCATAACTGTTCTGTGAATTAATAAATGAATTCAGATGGGTAACAGATGTTTACAAAAATTGTTTTTTTTTATTCCTTACCAGTAAAATTATTAGAAAATATTGGTTTTCTAATGCATATTTTAACTGGATTTTTTTTTTTAAGTAATGATCCTGGTTTGTCTATCATGGAAATAAAGAAAGATAAAAATGTAAAGTGGACTTTAAAATCATCTATGATTACACCAGGCTTTGAGAAGGCCGATTCCCTAACTGGTAGTCTACTACGAGTGAGTAATGACAACAATCTAAGTGAAATGGATCAGGATGAAAGAAGGTAAAATCTATAAATTCTTTATTTCCTTCTGAGGGAATGTTAGTAGCTATGATTATTGTTATGTAAGTAAAACACTGTAATATAGTGTCGTACAGGCTGAGGGAAGAAATATTCAAGTATATCAAAAACACCACTTGAAAGGTTAGGATGAGGAGGAGTGACTTTAAGATTTCATTTATTTATTCATGAGAGACACAGAGAGAGAGGCAGAGACATAGGCAGAGGGAGAAGCAGGTTCCCTGTGGGGAGCCCAAAGCAGAACTCGATGCCAGGACCCCCAGATCAGGATATGAGTTTTGTGGTAAGAGGTTGTTTATTTTAGAATTGGTTCCACCATGCAGTATTCTCATATAATTGAATATGCAGATACTATCCTTCATTGATTGAAAATATATATATATAATAGTAAATATACAGACACATAGGCGATTCTGAATAGAACTAATCATTCCTTGTTAGGTTAAGGTATTCAGTACCTTTGACAGTATCATGAATAGCTATGATTTTGTGAGGGGCTTTGGAGTATCTGATTATATTAACTTAATATTTGTTTAGGTTCTGGGGAAGGGGAATGGTTTTGTTTATTTACAATATGTTTATTTACAATTGAAAAACTATTCATCTATTGTAGATTATTACTTTTGGATTATAAAGTTCTAAATTACAAGAGCCACGGTTACTGTACCAGCAGCGTCATTGACACATATTGTGTGCTTAATGAGTAATTGTTGAATCCATGAATAAACATTTGAATGAGTAAAGGAATGCCCATTAATGAACATCTTTAGAAGAATTAAATCTTTAGTTTATTGAAAGTAGATTTTCAATACTGCCTAGGTATGAAGTGTTTTAATTTAAAAAAAAAAAAAAAGGTGTGTGGGATGCCAGGGTGGCACAGCAGTTGAGTGTCTTGCCTTGGGCTCAGGGTGTGATCCTGGGGTCCCGCATCAGGCTCCTTGTGGGGAAGCCTGTTTCTCCCTCTGCGTGTGTCTCTGCCTGTCTCTCTGTCTCTCTAGTGAATAAATAAAATCTTTTTTAAAAAATAAAAAATTAAAAATGTATGTAAGATTCAGAAATTATTTCTAGAATAATTATAGCTAGAAATGGAATAATACTATAGATTCAATTGCTATCACATTACTTAGAAATACTTAACTTACTTTTACCACATATTGTAAAACACATGTTGGGAAGGGACATTTCCTGGACTTGAGTTCTGGGTGGTCTGCTCCTGCCAGCTGTATGGGCTTGGGGAAGTTCCTTAGAATTTCTGTGCCTCATTTGCTTCCTGTGCAAGATACGCAGTATAATTGCCTACTTCATACGGTTTGTGTAAGGCCTAAAAACCCTTCAGGATATGTAAACTGTCCCAAATAAGGCATAGTAGTTGCACAGTAAAACCTCAAAACACTAATATCGTGATTATTTAAAAAGGGCTTGTGTCATAAAAAAAACTTAGTTTGCACTTTCCAAATTGATTTAGTGAAAACTTGTTTTTATTGAAAATGACAACAAAAAATGTATATTTACCCCTATCAAATAATGTAAGTAACATTATGATTTTCCTTTACTTTTGCAATTTTGATCTAAATTTAATACTTTGTTAATATTACTATTAATATTGCTTAGATATGCTTTAAATATTCTTTGTATTTTAAGTATTTAATATTTTCCTGAAAAGAATCCTTTCTCTTTTTAGACCTGCAAAGAAAACATCTAAGGAAAAGAACAAGGTAGACAAACAAAATAATATAATTCTATTTCATTTATGATATATTTTTATTATATTATTTTGATATTTCATATTTATCAGAAATATTATTCCATGGTAAAAAAATTACTTTATGAAACGCACAGTGAAAAAATGAAACTTTTCCTTTGTTGTACAGACATCTGCTGTGAAAAAATTATTCAGAAACACTAATTATTGATAAAGGTATTTTTGATAAAAATCAGTTCTTTTAAAAAGTACCTATGTTTTTGCTTTTATAAAAAGATGGATATTTATCATCTCTCTACGCTTAGTATATTTTATAAATATTTGGATGACGTTTTGAAATAGTATTATTTATTTGTAGGTCAAAAAGCAAGTGAATTCTGTGGAACACCTTGATGGCTTAACTCAGTCATCTGAAGCAGCTTCAGAGCATTGCATGTTGCAATACTCCGATTATAAGAGTTCCCTGTTGCCCATTGGACAACTTGACATGGATTGTAAAGGTAGGGCCGTCGTATAAATATAAAGCCTTTTTCTGTATATATGATTGTAGCAATATGTACACATCTCGTCTAGCGGGGCGCCACACAACACTGATGTGTTATAGAGCTACTCTTCTCAGAAATATGTTTTATATTAAAATAGAGAACTATTGAATACTCTCAGCCAAAGAACTATAATTTCAATTGTGGTTGTCTACGTGGGAATGGCACACTTGATGTGTTTGTGAACTCTGCTTCTCTTCTGTGCTTCACCCAAGGTCAGGTTACCATTATTTTTCTCCTAGATTACTGAACTAACTACAGGACTGTTTTCCCTGCCATTCCACTTCTTGGGATCTTGGTCTACACTGCAACCATAATTACTATACATTTTTAAAAGTTTACATTTCATCACATTACCCCCTTGCTTAAAGCTTAGCTGTTACTTCTTAATGCTATGAGGTGAAAGACCATAGTCCACAGGCTTCATCTTGTATGGTTTCATATCCGTCCTTCCATCCATGTCTCAGCCACTGTCTTAGATGTTTTTTCATATAATAGAGGCTTTCTTTCTCCAACAGCTTTAGTTAGGTAAACTGCACATGTATGAAGTGTATAATTTGATAGTTTTGTCATATATATACACACATATGAAACCATAACTGTAATTTAGACAGTTAACATATCCATCACTCTTAAGTTTCCTGTCTCTTCATATTGCCTTATTATGAAACTGCCAAATTGTTTTCTAAAATAATTGTACTATTTTCTAAACCCACCAGCAGTGTATGAGGGTTTCTAACTCCTCCATATATATTTGTGAGTACTTAGTATTATCAGTTTTTTAATCGTAGCCATTGATGGGTATTTAATATAAACACACACACGCATATATGTGTATAAATGTATACATTTATGGTTGTAATACACATTTCCCTAATAACTGATAATGTTGAGCTTATTTAACATCTGTATAGGGAACCCCCGGGTGGCACAGCGGTTTAGCGCCTGCCTTTGGCCCAGGGTGCGATCCTGGAGACCCGGGATCGAATCCCACGTCGGGCTCCCGGTGCATGGAGCCTGCTTCTCCCTCTGCATGTGTCTCTGACTCTCTCTCTCTCTCTCTCTCTCTCTGACTATAATAAATAAATAAAAATTAAATAAAAATTAAAAAAAAACATCTGTATATCTTCATTGAGCTGCCAAAATTTTTGTCATTTAAAAAATTAGGTTTATTATTTGTCGAGTGTTGATAAATCTTTGTTTTTGTTTTTGATATCTTCTTATTATTTTTTAAATTGGAGTTCAATTTGCCAACAGATAGCATAACACCCAGTGCTCATCCCATCAAGTGCCCCCCTCAGTGCCCATCACCCAGTCACCTCAACCCCTCGCCCACCTCCCTTTCCACCACCCCTGGTTCATTTCCCAGAGTTAGGAGTCTCTCATGTTCTGTCACCCTCCCTGATATTTTCACTCATTTTTTCTCCTTTCCACTTTATTCCCTTTCACTATTTTTTAAATTCCCCAAGTGAATGAGACCATATAATGTTTGTCCTTCTCCGATTGACTTACTTCACTCAGCATAATACACTGCAGTTCCATCCATGTTGAAGTAAATGGTCAGTATTTCTCGTTTCTAATGGCTGAGTAATATTCCATTGTATACATAGACCACAGCTTCTTTATCCTTTCGTCTCCCGAAGGACACCGAGGCTCCTTCCACAGTTTGGCTACTGTAGACATTGCTGCTATAAACATCGGGGTGCAGGTGTCCCGGTGTTTCACTGCATCTGTATCTTTGGCTAAATCCCCTGCAGTGCAATTGCTGGGTCATAGGGCAGTTCTATTGTTAACTCTTTGAGGAATCTTCACACAGTTCTCCAGAGTGGCTGCGCCAGTTCACATTCCCACCAACAGTGCAAGAAGGTTCCCCTTTCTCCGCATCCGCTCCAACATTTGTTGTTTCCTGTCTTGTTAATTTTCCCCATTCTCACTGGTGGGAGGTGGTATCTCATTGTGGTTTTGGTTTGTTTTTCCATGATGGCCAGTGATGCGGAGCATTTTCTCATGTGCTTGTTGCCATGTCTATGTGTTCCTCTGTGAGATTTCTCTTCATGTCTTTTGCCCATTTCATGATTGGATTGTTTGTTTCTTTGCTGTTGATTTTAAAGAGTTCTTTATAGATCTTGGATACTAACCCTTTATCTGATAGGTCATTTGCCAGCGTCTTCTCCATTCTGGAAGCTGTCTTTTAGTTTTGTTGACTGTTTCTTTTGCTGTGCAGAAGCTTCTTATCTTGATGAAGACCCAATAATTCATTTTTGCTTTGGTTTCTCTTGCCTCACGGATGTATCTTGCAAGAAGTTGCTGTGGCCAAGTTCAAAAAGGCTGTTGCCTGTGTTCTCCTCTAGGATTCTGATGGACTCCTGTCTCACATTTAGATCTTTCATCCATTTTGAGTTTTTCTTCGTGTATAGTTTAAGAGAATGGTCTAGTTTCATTCTTCTGCACGTGACTGTCCAGTTTTCCCAGCACCATTTATTGAAGAGACTGTCTTTCTTCCAGCGGATAGTCTTTCCTGCTTTGTCGAATATTACTTGACTATAGAGTTGTCGAATATAACTTGACCATAGAGTCAAGGGCCCATTTCTGGATTCTCTATTCTTTTTCATTGACCTCTGTGTCTGTACCACACTGTCCTGATGATCACAGCTTTGGTAGTACAACCTGAAATCTGGCACTTTGATGCCCCCAGCTCTGGTTTTCTTTTTTAAAATTCCCCTGGCTATTTGGCGTCTTTTCTGATTCCACACAACTCTTCCGATGATTTGTTCCAACTCTATGAAGAGAGTCCATGGTATTTTGATAGGGATTGCATTAAATGTATAAATTGCCCTGGGTACCATTGACCTTTTCCCAAAATTCATTCTTCCAATCCATGAACATGGAATATTTTTCCATCTCTTTGCGTCTTCCTCAGTTTCTTTCAGAAGTGTTCTGTACTTTTGAGCGTATAGATCCTTTACCTCTTGGTTAGGTTTATTCCTAGGTATCTCATGGTTTCATGTGTAATTGTCGATTGGATCGACTCCTTAATTTCTTTTTCTTCAGTCTCATTGTTAGTGTATAGAAATGGCCCTGATTTCTGGGCATTGATTTTGTATCCTGCCACACTGCCGAATTGCTGTATGAGTTCTAGCAATCTTGGGGTGGAGTCTTTTGGGTTTTCTATGTACAGTATCATGTGAACCGCAAAGAGGGAGTGTTTGACTTCTTCTTTGTCAGTGTGAATGCCTTTTATTTCTTTTTGTTGTCTGATTGCTGAGGCTAGGGCTTCTAGTACTATGTTAAGAGCAGTGGTGAGAGTGAACATCCCTGTCTTGTTCCTGATCTTAGGGGAAAGAAAGGCTCCCAGTGTTTCTCCATTGAGAATCATATTTGCTGTGGGATTTTCATAGATGGCTTTTAAGATGCTGAGGAATGTTCCCTCTATCCCTACACCCTGAAGAGGTTTGATCAGGAATGGATGCTGTAGTTTGTCAAATGCTTTCTCTGGCTCTATTGAGACGGTCATACGGTTCTTGTTTTTTCTCTTCTTGATATGATCTATAACATTGATTGCTCTATGAGTGTTGAACCAGCCTTGCATCCCGGGGATAAAGTCCACTGGGTCATGGTGAATCATCTTCTTAATGTATTGTTGGATCCTATTGGCTACTATCTTGTTGAGCATTTTTGCATCTGTGTTCAGGGTTATTCTCTCTACCTCTCGTTTTTGGCGGGGTCTTGGGTTTTGGAATTAAGGGGATGCTGGCCTCATAGAATGAGTTTGGAAGTACTCCATCTGTTTCTATCTTTTGGAGCAGCTTTAGTAGAGTAGGTGTTGTTTCTTCTACAAACGTTTGATAGAATTCCCCTGGGAAGCCATCTGGCCCCGGACTTTTGTGTCTTGGGAGGTTTTTGATGACTGCTTCAATTTCCTCCCTTGTGGTTGGCCTTTTTGGACTTTCTATTTCTTCCTGTTCCAGTTTTGCTAGTTTGTCATTTTCCAGAAATGAGTCCATTTTTTCTAGATTGCCTAATTTATTGGCGTATAGCTGCTCATACTAAGTTTTTAAAATCGTTTGTATTTCCTTGGTATTGGTGGTGATCTCTCCATTTTCATTTATGACTAATTTGAGTCTTTTCTCTCTTTTTTTTTAATAAGGCTGGCTAATGGTTCATCTTTCAAAGAACCAACTCCTGGTTTTGTTGATCTGTTTCGCGGTTCTTCTACTCTCTATTTCATTGAGTTCTGCTCGGATCTTTATTAATTGTCTTTTTCTGCTGGGTGTAGGTTTCATTTGCTGTTCTTTCTCCAGCAACTTTAGGTGCAAGATTAGCTTTTACATATGAGTTCTTTCCAGTTTTTTGAGGGATGCTTATATTGCGATATATTTCCCCCTCAGGTCTGCTATTGCTGTATCCCAAGATTTTGAAGAATCTTATCTTCATTCTCATTAGTTTCCGTGACTCTGTTTAATTCTTCTCTAATTTCCTGGTTGACCCTTTCATCTTTTACCAGGATGGTATTTAACCTCCTCATGTTTCAATTTCTTCCAATATTCTTCTTTTGATTTAGTCCTGTTTCACAGCATTATGGTCTGAAAATATGCTGGGGACAATCTCAAATTTTTGTTATCGGTTGAGACCTGGTTAGTGACCCAGTATGTGTTCTATTCTGGAGAAAGTTCCTTGTGCACTTGAGAAGAACGTGTATTCAGTTGCATTTGGCTGTAAAGTTCTATAAATATCCGTGAAATCCATCTGATGCAGTGCATCATTTAAAGCTCTTGTTTCTTTGGAGATATTGGGCTTAGAAGATGTGTCATTTACAGAAAGTGATGTGTTAAAATCTCCCAGTTTTAGTATACTATTATCTAAGCATGTCTTAATTTTGGTTATTAATTGATTGTTATACTTGGCAGCTCCCGCATTCGGGGCATAAATATCATGATTGTTAGGTCCTCTTGTTGGAGAGATCCTTTAAGTATGATATAGTGTCCCTCTTCATCTCTTACTATAGTCTTTGGGATAAACTTTAATTTAGCTGATATAAGGATGGCTGCCCCTGCTTTCTTTTGAGGACCATTTGAATGGTACATGGTTCTCCAACCTTTTATTTTTAGGCTGTAGGTGTCCTTATGTCTAAAATGAGTCTCGTGTAGACAGCAAATAGATGGGTCTTGCTCTTTTTATGCAGTGTGAAACCCTGCACCTTTTGATGGGGTCATTAAGCCCATTCACGTTCAGATTTACTCTTGAAAGATATGAATTTAGTGCCATCATGATACCTGTTCAGTCCCTGTTTTTGTGGATTGTTGCCTTGGACTTCCTCTTTCTTTTACAGAGTCCCCCTTCATATTTCTTGCAGACCTGGTTTGGTGGTCACATGTTCTTTCAGTTTCTGCCTATCTTGGAAGCTCTTTATCTCTCCTTCTATTGTGAATGGGAGCCTTGCTGGATAAAGTATTCTTGGCTGCAGGTTCTTTTCATTTAGGACCCTGACTATATCCTGCCAGCCCTTTCTGGCCTGCCAGGTCTCTGTGGAGAGGTCTGCTGTTATCCTAATATTTCTCCCCATAAAGGTTAGAAATCTCTTGTCTCTTGCTGCTTTAAGGATCTTTTCTTTACCTTTGGAATTTGCAAGTTTCACTATTAAATGTCGAGGTATTGAGTGGTTTTTATTGATTTTAGGGGGTGATCTCTCTATCTCCTGGATCTGAATGACTATTTCCTTTCCCACATTAGAGAAGTTCTCAGCTATGATTTGTTCAAATACACTCTCTGGCCCTCTGTCTCTTTCGGCGCCCTCTGGAACCCCAATTAAATGTAGATTTTTCCTTCTGAGGCTGTCATTTGTTTCCCTTAACCTTTCCTCATGATCTTTTAATTGTTTTTCTCTTTTTCCCGCAGCTTCCTTCCTTGCCATCAACTTGTCTTGTATGTCACTCACTGGTTATATGTCACTCTTCTACCTCGTTAACCCTCATCATTAGGACCTCCAGTTTGCATTGCATCTCATTTAATTGATTTTTAATTTCTGCCTGATGAGATCTAAATTCTGCAGTCATGAAGTCTCTTGAATCCTTTATGCTTTTTTTTCTAGAGCCACCAGTAGCTTTATAATTGTGTTTCTGAATTGGCTTTCTGACATTGAATTGTAATCCAAATTTTGTAACTCTGCGGAGAGAGGACTGTTTCTGATTGTTTCTTTTGAGGTGAGTTTTTCCTTCTAGTCATTTTGCTCAATGTAGAGTGGCCAAAAACAAGTTGTACTGGAAAAAGGAGAAAAAGAGAGAAAAAGTGGGAGGGGACAAACAGAAAACAAAAAACAAGAGGGGGTATCCTCTGATTCTATATACTGTAAATCCCTCGACTTCCCCTAGAACTTTCCAGCACTGCTTGGTCAGTGACTTACTTTTCCCCTGTCCTTCCAGCTGGTCTTCTGGGGGAGGGGCCTGCTGCGGTGATTCACAGGTTTGTGCACCTGGAGGAGCTCCCTAGCCCCTTGCCAGGTGCAGGGCTCAGTGCAAGCTGTTTATCCTGTGAAGCTCCTGCTCAGTCCCAGGTACAAGGTGACAGCAGGAGGAACAACAACAGTGGCGGCAGCCAGCTCTCCATCTCTGGAGTCAGCTCCCGCAGTAACTACCTCAGCTCCCAGTCCCCAGGGGCCTGGATGGTCCGGGGGCAGGGGGCGTTGATCTGCACAGCTCGGGGCCGCCTGGCAGCAGGAGCGTCCTTGCTGCCCTGTGTCCTCCCAGTCTCCACCTGTCCCGGGGGGAGCGCCGGATCCTGGGCTGTGTCCCTGGCACCCTGGGCTCTGGGGCCTGCACCGCTGGAATCACACTCGCAGGGCTACACAGTGGCCGCCACCTGAGCTGCTCCTGGGGCCCCGCTGGGCGCGGCGTCCAGCCCTTTGGGGAGCTCGGCCTGCAGTGTGTGGAGGGCTCTCCCCCAGAGTGCAGTTGTTCTTTTAGTGCCCCTGGGAGCCTGAGGGCATCCGTACCCCTCCTGGGATCCTGCCTGAGCTCCCTGCAAGCGCCTTTCCTTCCAGGAAGATTGGTAAAGTTTCTACTTCTCCAGGACTGGGCTCTCCTGTCCTGGGGGCACTAGCTTCGTGGCCTTTGCCTGGCTCCTCGTGGGGGCTCCTCCCCCTTGGATGCTTTTTTATTTCTTTATGTTTTTCCGTCTTCCTACCTTGATAGAAGCGTGAACTCTTCTCACTGTAGCATTCCAGCTGTTCTCTCTTTAAATCTCAGGCCGAAATCATAGGTTTTCTGGATGATTTGAAAGTTATCTAGGTAAGTTGGTGGGGACTGGTGACTTGGGGACCCTACTCTTCTGCCATCTTGCCCCGCCTCCTTCTCTTTTTAATATATACCTCAGTGCTATAAATGGTGAGATGAGTGCTACTCTAGGAGGATTCCAGAAATTTTTAACATATTATGTTTTTATTTTCATTCAGTACGTGATACTTTGTAATTTCTTTTTTCATGACTTCTTTATTCCAAGGGTTGTTTAAAGATTTTATGTATTTGAGAGAGAGAGAGAGAGAGAGAGAGAGAGAGAGAGAGAGAAAGAGAGAAAGCATAGGCGAGGGGAGGTCCAGAGGGGTAAGCGTCCTTCCCTCTGAGTGGGAAGCCCAACGTGGGTCTCATTCCCAGGACCCTGAGATCATGACCTGAGCTAAAGGCAGACACTTAATCAATGGAGCCGCCTAGGTCCCCCGACCCAGGGGTTATTTAGATGTGCATTATTAATTAGTTTGCAAGTATTTGAGTATTTTCCAGAGGTAGGTTTGTTCTTCATTTCTAATTTGATCACTTTGTGGTCACAGAACACTTTCATGACTTCAATCCTTTTGACTTAACTCCTTTTATTAAGGTTTATTTTATGACAGAGAATATAATCTCTTTTGGTAAATGCTCCATGGATACTTGAGAAAGGTGGTGGTGGTCAAGTCTTCTATATCCTTGATGATTTTCTGCCTATTGAAATCTCAGACTAAAATTGTGAATTTGCCTGTCTCTTTGCAGTTCTGTTGATTTTTGCCTTATGTATTTTGATCTTATTAATAGATTCATAAGCATTTAGGTTTGTTATGCTTATTTACTGACCCTTTCATCATTAACAAATGACCTTATACATTACTGAGAATATATATTGCTTTGAAATCTATTTTGCCTGGTATTAATATTGCTACTACTCAAGCTCAGCCTTCTTTTAATTGAGGCTTTTAGACCATTTTCTTTCTTTCTTTCTTTCTTTCTTTCTTTCTTTCTTTCTTTCTTTCTTTCTTTCTTTCTTTCATTTTTTGATAATTTTCATTTACTCTGATTATTGATATAGTTGATATAAATCTCTCATCCTGTTTGCTTTCCATTTGACCTGCTTTGTTCCCATTTTCTTTGCTTTCTGCTTTCTTTTAGATTAATCAACTAATTTTTACAAGTTAGTTTAATTTATATATATATATAAACATACACATATAGTGTATGTATGTGCTTTGCTTATTACTATAACTCTTAAGTTTTGCTATTTTAGTGATTGCTTTAGGGTTTAAAGCATATGATTCAAACATCACAGTCCACCTTCTTGTAGTGATATACCACATCATATGTAGTTAAAGAAAATTACAATAGGGAACAGGTGAGTAGCTTAGTGGTTGAGATTCTACCTTTGGCTCAGAGTGTGATCCCAGGGTCCCTGTATCGAGTCCCGCATCAGGCTATCTCAGGGAACCTGCTTCTCCCTCTGCCTGTGTCTCTGCCTCTCTCTCTCCGTGTGTCTCATGAATAAATAAATAAATAAAATCTTTTTTTTTGAATTACAATAGTTTACCATTTCTTCTCTCCTAGCCAGATCCTCTGTGGGTCTGTGGGATTATAGTTTTCATTAAGTTTAGAAAGGTTTCGGTCATGTTTTCTTTTCTTTTTAAAAGATTTTAAAGTTCTATTGATAATAAGATTTTATCCATTTATTTGAGAGAGAGAGCATGAGCAGGGAGAGAGGCAGAGGGAGAGGGAGAAGCAGACTCCCTACTAAGCAGGGATCCCACCATGTGGCTTGATCCCAGGACGCCAAGATCATGACCTGAGCCGAAGGCAGACACCCACTGACTAAGCCACCCAGGCGCCTGGTATAATGTCTTTACGTTGAAGTTACTCAATATTTATTTAATGTATGAATGAGTGAATGTGAACATGCTCAGTCCTTTATATGCAAAAAGTACTCATTTTATTTTGCCTTTTTAAAGAACAAATTTGTGGGAGAGCAGGAGCAGGAGATGGGGAGAGGAACAGAGAGGGAGGGAACGAAGGGGTAAAGAAACTTAAGCAGACTCTGCTGAGTGCAGCACCCAGTGCCAGGTTCAATCCCACAACTGTGAGATCATGACCTCGGCCAAAACCAATAGTTGGATGCTTTTACTAAATGACCCACCCTGATGCCTCCTGTATTTTATTTCTGTTTTTGTTTTTCCTCTGGTGTAGATTCTGTTAGCATATTGACAACCCAGGATGCAATTTTTAAATACAGAAGATTAATAGAATTAAAAACAAAGGACTGTGAACAACTTATAAGAAAAATTTTAAAAATGGAATATAAGGTCAATGGACTACAAAAGGAACTATCAGAAGCAAAAGAAATGAAATCTCAGTTAGAGCATCAAAAAGTGGAATGGGAACGAGAACTCTACAGTTTAAGGTATGACATCTTGGTTTTAAGGAAATATTTCAACTATGTACTTGTTTCTTTTTTTTTAATAGACTCCTCACTCAGCATGGGGCTTGAACTCACAGCCATGAGATCAAGAGTCACATGCTCTATCAACTGAGCCGGCCAGGAACCCCTTGAAATACTTACTTTTATACTACAGATGTGTAGGAGAAGTTTTGTAATTGCTAATTAGCCTTCTGGGATTTTATAGGGAAGAAAACTCCTTTAGAAATGTGAAGTATCAAAAGACGAATGGGTAAAGAAGCAGTGGACTATGTATACAATGGAATATTGCTCAGCCATTAGAAACGACAAATACCCACCATTTGCTTCCACGTGGGTGGAACTGGAGGGTATTATGCTGAGTGAAATAAGTCCATTGGAGAAGGACAAACATTATATGGTCTCATTCATTTGGGGAATATAAAAATTAATGAAAGGGAATAAAGGGGAAAGGAGAGAAAATGAGAGGGAAATATCAGCGAGGGTGACAGAACATGAGAGACACCTAACTCTGGGAAACGAACAAGGTGTGGTGGAAAGGGAGGTGAGTGGAGGGTTGGGGTGACTGGGTGATGGGCCCTGAGGGGGGCACTTGACGGGGTGAGCACTGTGTGATATGCTGTATGTTGGCAAATTGAACTCCAATAATAAAAAAAAAATGTGAAGTCTGAGATTCTTTGAAATAATACAGTAAGTTTTTAACAGTGAATACTTCTAATAATTTAATGTATATTCTAAAGCATAATTTTAATGACCATGTAGAAGTCCATCATATGTAAACCTCATTATTTAACAAATTGAATTTTGGTTGTTTTCCATTTTCCTATATTTTAATTAATACTATAAGGAATGTCTTTAATTTTGTTTCTACATTCTTGGTTAATTGGAATAAATTCTTTAATGTAGCATTGTGTTAACGTATAAAAATATTTAGTGGAGGTCTCTGATCCATATTTTTAAGTTGTTCTAAGGAAATTTTATATTATATGCCCCCCAACAGAGTGTGAAATGGCCAATTTTTCCTCAAGACAGAAAAATTTTTACACTTTGGTTTATTCTTAACATATGCAGGGGTTAAAAAGTCAAATGGGGAAAAAAAAGTCAAATGGAAAAATGATTCATGGTTAAGTTTTTTCAACATTTCTTGCATATATAAAGAAAATTAATTCAAAAGTCTATGCTGAAAGCACATCTTACTCTTTATTCTTTAATTAATATGGATCCTGTGGTGTTTTCAAAGGAGTTTTCAAGTGATTTTTAAAATACATAATAATCAAGGTTGAGAATAATACAGAATAAGAAACATAAAAAGCATGGGCAATAGATATTAGACTCCCTAGTCTAGTACTGGATCACGGTCATCTGCAGGTGTATGTTGTGTAAACGACATCTGCTGATGCTGTCTTACACTGAAGATCATTTTTAGAGGTACCTGTGATGTTTTGTGAAATAAAAATTTATTTCTAGTGAATTTATAAAGTTGTTGATAAACAGCAACTTCTCTTTTTAATTAGTAATGAAATGATTTGTCCTAATTGAAGTGTAATTATCACTCTGTGGGGAAAAATGATAATTTTCAACTCTAACTTTCCTGAATAATTTCAGAATTCGTTTCCTTACAACATCTACCAGAGTTATTACTGAGTAAAACTTACTAAGTTGCAAAATGCTTTCTCATTGCTTCTTTTAAACTATGTCTCTTTTTGAAGAGATTGAAGTGATAAATTAAAAACATGAGCCCTAGAAAGGAAAAAAATTGAGAACAGAAAAATTTCATTTGGATAATGTACCAGCATATGTGGAACCAGATCATAAAATAAAATTTTTATTGCTGACAAAACAAATTTTAAAATGAACACATGCATTTGCAGATTGACCTTAAAGCAAAAAGAAAAAAGTGCTGATATGTTATATATAATTATTAGGGAGCAATTAAGAAGTAAAGAAGAGCAACATAGTAAAGAAGTTGAAATGAAACAACAACTTAATCTTAGAAGACGAAACTTGGAATTGAAGAGTGGAAAAAGTAATTGGAGTCAGGTAAATTTTTGGCAGTAATTGTATATTTCCATCAATATTATTTATAGTATCCCTTTGATATAATACATATTATTAGGCTTCAAATAGATTAAACATTTCATTTTAACCTAATAGCAACCATGATATTTATAGCTACAATTACTCTACCTTATTGGAATTCTTGGCCTCTCACATATGCTCTATGTATATATTTTGAATGAAGGGATGGAAGGTAAAATGAGATAAATGTGATATTGATTTATTGATTTATGGAATTGTATTTATTTTTACACAGAGCATGGGCTGGGGGGAAAGTAGTAGAGGGAGAGGGAGGGAAATGAATCTCCAGCAGACTCTGGTCTGAGCACAGAGCCTCACCTGGGGCTGAATCTCGTGATCATGAAATCATGACCTGAGCTGTAAAGAGTCGGACACTTAACCCACTGAACCCCCAGGTGTCCCAGTTTTGGATTTTTTAATGTTGAAATATGAGCTAGATTTCCTTGAGATGCTGATGAAACTAGTTAAATGTTTTATACAGAAATTTTATTTCACAATACTATGTCTACTTATATTTTTACTCTGTGGCACGTTTTGCTGTCATTTAATTTAAAATTTGAGTTATTCATTGAGGATGAAAAGCTTTGTTATAAAAAAGACTACTTTGAACATTTTTTTAAGTTCTCTTAAGCCTTTTGACTTTTTTTTTTTAATGATAGGATCCAAAATCCTAATGAAAATGTGTCTCTAGGTTATAGAAGAGCAAAATGATGTTCAGAGGCAATTTTCTCGAGAACAGAATGCCCAGAGTATTACATGATGGAATACTTTTTTTTTTTGGTATATTTTTTATTGGAGTTCGATTTGCCAACATATAGCATAACACCCAGTGCTCACCTGTCAAATGCCCCCTCAGTGCCCGTCACCCAGTCTCCCCCCCCCCCGCCCACCTCCCCTTCCACTATCCCTTGTTCGTTCCTCAGAGTTAGGTGTCTGTCATGTGTCATCACCCTCTCTAATTTTTCCAACTGATTTTCTCTCCTTTCCCCTCTAATCCTTTTCAGTATTTTTATATTCCCCATCGAGTGAAACCATATGATGTTTGTCCGTCTATGATTGACTTACTTCACTCAGCATAATACCCTCAGTTCCATGCACATTGAAGCAAATGCTGGTTATTTGTCATTTCTAGGGGCTGAGTAATATTCCATTATATATATAGACCACATCTTCTATATCCATTCATCATTTGATGGATACTCAGGCTGCATCCACAGTCTGGCTATTCTGGAAAATGCTGCTGTAAACATTGGGGTGCAGGTGTCTCGGCTCTTCACTGCATCTCTATCTTTGGGGTAAATCCTGAGTAGTGCTATTGCTGGGTCGTAGGGTAGTTCTATTTTTAACTCTCTGAGGAACCTCCACACAGTTTTCCAGAGTGGCTGTACCAGTTCACATTCCCACCAACAGTGCAAGAGGGTTCCCATTTCTCCGCATCCTCTCCAACATTTGTTGTTTCCCGTCTTGTTAATTTTCCCCATTCTCACTGGTGTGAGCTGGTATCTCATTGTGGTTTTGATTTGTATTTCCCTGATGGCCAGTGATGTGGAGCGTTTTCTCATGTGCTCGTTGGCCATTTGTATGTCTTTTTGGTGAAATGTCTGCTCATGTCTTTTGCCCGTTTCATGATTGGATTGTTTCTTTGCTGTTGAGTTTACTAAGTTCTTTATAGATCCTGGATACTAGCCCTTTATCTGATACGTCATTTGCAAATAACTTCTCCCATTCTGTAGGTTGTCTTTTAGTTTTGTTGACTGTTTCTTTTGCCGTGCAGAAGATTTTCATCTTGATGAGGTCCCAATGGTTTATTTTTGCTATTGTTTCCCTTGCCTTCATAGATGTATCTTGCAAGAAGTTGCAGTGGCCAAGTTCACAAAGGCTGTTGCCTGTGTTCTCCTCTAGGATTCTGATGGATTCCTGTCTCACATTTAGATCTTTCATCCATTTTGAGTTTATCTTTGTGTATGGTGCAAGAGAATGGTCTAGTCTCATTCTTCTGCACGTGGCTGTCCAATTTTCCCAGCACCATTTATTGAAGAGAGTGTCCTTTTTCCAGTGGATAGTCTTTCCTGCTCTGTCGAATATAACTTGACCATAGAGTTGAGGGCCCACTTCTGGATTCTCTATTCTGTTCTATTGATCTATGTGTCTGTTTTTGTGCCAGTACCACACTGTCTTGATGATCACAGCTTTGTAATACAACTTGAAATCCAGCATTGTGATGCCCCCAGCTCTGGTTTTCTTTTTCAATATTCCCCTAGTTCGGGTTTTTTTCTGATTCCACACAGATCTTAAGATTATTTATTCCAGCTCTCTGAAGAAAGTGAAGAAAGTCCATGGTATGTGGATAGGAATGCATTGAATGTGTAAATCGCCCTGGGTTAGCATAGACATTTTGACAATATTAATTCTTCCAATCCATGAGCATGGAATATTTTTCCATCTCTTTGTGTCTTCCTGGATTTCTTTCAGAAGTGTTTTGTAGTTGTTAGGGTATAAATCCTTTATTTCTTTGGTTAGGTTTTCCTTGGTATTGGTGGTGATCTCTCCTTTTTCATTCATGATTTTATTAATTAGAGTCTTTTCTCCTTTGTTTTTTATAAGGCTGGCTAATGGTTTCTGTATCTTTTTCTTTCAAAGAACCAACTCCTGGTTTTGTTGATCTGTTCCACAGTTCTTCTGGTCTTTATTTCATTGAGTTCTGCTCGAATCTTCACTCTCTCTGTTCTTCTGCTTGGTGTAGGTTTTATTTACTGTTCTTTCTCCCAATTCCTTTAGGTGCAGGGTTAGCTTGTGTCTTTGAGGTTTTTTCCCAATCTTTTGAGGGATGCTTGTAATGCGATGTCTTTCCCACTTAGGATTGCTTTGGCTGTATCCCAAGGATTTTGAATGGTTGTATCTTCATTTTCATTAGTTTCCATGAATCTTTTTATTTCTTCTCTAATTTTCTGGTTGACCCATTCATCTTTCAGCAGGATGCTCTTTCTCCTCCACCTGTCTGAGTTTCTTCCAAATTTCTTCTTGTGATTGAGTTCTAGTTTCAAAGCAACGTGGTCTGAAAATATGCAGGGGACAATCCCAGTGTTTTGGTATCGGGTGGTCTGTTCTGAGAGAGTTCCGTGTGTACTTGAGAAGACTGTGTATTCAGTTGCGTTTGGATGTAAAGTTCTGTAAATATCCGTGAAATCCATGTGGTGCAGTGTATCGTTTAAAGCTCTTGTTTCTTTGGAGGTGTTGTGCTTAGAAGATCTGTCATTTGCAGAACGTGCCGTGTTTAAGTCTCCTACTACTAGTGTATTATTATCTAAGTATGCCTCTACTTTGGTTATTAATTCACTGATACACTTGGCAGCTCCCACATTAGAAGCATAAATATTCATGATTGTTAGATCTCCTTGTTGGATAGACCCTTCAAGTATGATATAGTGTCCCTCTTCATCTCTTACTATAGTCTTTGGGATAATCTTTAATTTATCTGATATAAGGATGGCTGCCCCTGCTTTCTTTTGAAGACCATTTGAATGGTAAATGGTTCTCCAACCTTTTATTTTCAGGCTGTAGGTGTCCTTATGTCTAAAATGAGTCTCTTGTAGACAGCAAATAGATGGGTCTTGATTTTTTTATCCAGTCTGAAACCCTGCATCTTTTGATGGGATCATTTAGCCCATTCACATTCAGAGCATCTATTGAAAGATATTATTTTTACTATCATTGTAATGCCTATTCAGTCCCTGTTTTTGTCGATTATTTCTTTGGGCTTCCTCTTTCTTTTACAGCGTCCTCATTAATATTACTTTCAGAGCTGGCTTGGTGGTCACATATTCTTTCAGCTTCTGCCTATCTTAGAAGCTCTTTATCCTATTCTGAACGAAAGGCTCCCTGGATAGAGTATTCTTGGCTGCATGTTCTTCTCATGTAGAACCCTGAATATTTCCTGCCAGCTGTGTCTGGCCTGCCAGATCTCTGTGGAGAGGTCTGCTGGTAACCTAATATTTCTCCCCATATAAGTGAGAAATCTCTTGTCTCTTGCTGTTTTAAGGACTTTCTTTTTTTTTTTTTTCCCTCCTTGGTGGGGGACCTCTCTATCTCCTGGACCTGAATGCCTTTTTCCCTCCCCAAATTAGGGAAGTTCACAGGTATGATTTGTTCAAATATCCTTTCTGGCCCTCTGGCCCTCTCGACCTCCTGTGGAACCGTAATCATGCGTAGATTTTTCCTTCTGAGGCTCTCAGTTATTTCCCTTAAGCTTTCCTCATGGTCTTTTAATTGTTTTTCTGTTTTCTCTTCAGCTTTCCTCTTTGCCATCAACTTGTCTTCTGTGGCACTCACTCTTTCTCCTAACTCATTAACCCTCATTGTTAGGACCTACCTTCAGTTTGGATTGCATCGCATTTAATTAATTTTTAATTTTGGACTAATTAGATCAAAATTCTGCAGTCATGAGTTTCTTTAATACTCTATGCCTTTTTGTAGAGCCACCACTAGCTTTATAATTGTGCTTCTGAATTGGCTTTCTGACATCAAATTGTAATTCAAATTCTGTAACTCTGTGGAAGACAGTACTGTTTCTGATCTTTCTTTTGTGGTGAGATCTTCCTTCTAGTCATTTTGCTCCCTGCAGAGTAGCTGTATGAATGGGCTGAGTCTAGAATATCAACCACAATCTAAGTAAACTTCACCTTAGATGATTATTTTTTTTTAAACATTTCATTTATTTATTCAGGAGAGACCCAGAGAGAGGGGTGGCAGAGACACAGGCAGAGGGAGAAGCGGGCTCCATGCAGGGAGCCTGATGTGGTACTTGATCCTGGGACTCCAGGATCATGCCCTGAGCTGAAGGCAGGCACTAAACCACTGAGCCACCCAAGGTTTCTTATCCTTAGATGATTCTGACGAGGTCCATGACATGAAATTGAAAACGAAGGGAAGAACAAAATAACACAAAATGACCACTAAAGTGAAAAACAAATTTTAAAACAAAGTAGTAGAAAATAAAAGGCCAAGAATGCCAAGGAAGAAAAAAAAAAGAAAAGAGGGGTGAAAAAAGGAAAGGTAAAGAGGGGAAAAAGAAAAAAAGAAGAAGAAAAATAAAATGTCAGGGGGAATGGGACATGGTGGTGGTGACGAAGTTGTAGTAGAGGGAGAATGTAGTCTACCTGAGGGGTCCCTAGGGGGTGATCCTCTTGCTCCTGAGTGTATTAGGTTCTGTATGTTAGAAGATACTGAGTCCCAAATTTCTACAAACCAGAAACACTTGTAGAGAGCCCCAGCATTGTTCCCCAAAACATAAATGAGATAAAACGGGGGGCAGAATGGGAATGAAGAGAGAATATAGTCTCACAGAATGAACCAGCATGTATACCACTTGGTTCTGGGTGTGTGCTGGTCCTGTTTTAGAAGGTCTTGTGCCATTGTAGAACAAAACAAGGTAGAGAAAACAAAAACGCACATACACAAAAAACCTATCTTGTCTAGCTCCCAAAATTAAGTTGAGTATGTTGAAGGGAATCTAGAAGTGGAAAATATATCTAAGACATGTAATTGTAAAAATATGAGAGTCAAAAAGGAAGAAACTTAAAAACGAAGAGGTGTCAAAATATTGTAGTTAAGGTGGGAAAAGAGAAAGAAAATTGGAAACTTACAGTCTGAAATAAAAATGAATTGTACTGGAAAAAAGGGGGGTAAAAGAGGGGTACCCTCTAGTTCTAGATATTGTAGATCCCTCGACTTCCCCTGGAGCTTTCCAGCGCTGCTGGGTCAGGAACTTGCTCTTCCCCTGTCCTTCCAGCTGGTCTTCTGGGCGAGGGGCGGGCTGTGCCGATTCTCAGGTGTGTACACCTGGGGGAGCTGCTCCGCCCCCTGCTGGGTGCAGGGTCAGGGGGAGCCAACTTCCCTTGAGGCCCATGTCCCCTGGCGGCCCCGGCTCTCCCAGGCACAGGGTGACACCAGGAGGGACAACAACACCGGTGGCGGCCAGGTCTCCCTGGCCCTGGAGGGTGGCCCCCGCAGTGACTCCCACCATCTCCCAGTCCGCCGGGGCCTGCATGCTCCCAGGGCAGGGGGCGCCGATCTGCACAGGTCGGGGTGCCGGGGCAGGAGCGTCCTCGCTGTCCTGGGCCCTCCCCGGCCTCAGCCTGTCCCGGGGCGGGGGGGGGGGAGCGCAGGATCCTGGCTCTTCAGTGACCCCGGGACCTGGAGGTCCACCCCCCCCCCCACCATCCCGCCTGAGTTCCCTGCTGAGCGCCTTTCCATTTAAAGCTCCCGCTTCTCCAGGGCTGGGCTTTCCCACCCAGGAGGTTTTCCCCGAAGGCCTTAGCCCGGCTCTTCCGGTGTCCCTCCCCACTTGATTCTTTTTTAATTTTTAGTTCTTTTCCGCCTTCCTACCTCGTTAGAAGCGAAAACCCTTCTCTCTCTAGCGTTCTGACTATTCTCTCTTTAAATCTCAGGTCGGGCACTTGGGGGGAGGGGGGCACTTGACAGGATGAGCGCTGGGTGTTATACCATATGTTGGGAAATCGAACTCCAATAAAAAAATAAATAAAAATCAATCATCAATCAATCAGTCAATCTCTGGTCAAATTCGTAGGTGTTCAGGATGATTTGAAAGTTCTCTAGGTAAGTTGGTGGGGCCAGGTGCTTGAGGATTCCTACTCCTCCCTCACCTTGCCCCCATCCCACCCAAGATGGAATTCTAAACAATCACCTTTGCAAATGAAATGAGATAGAAATGTCTCATACTAAAATGAATTCTGAGGTATTTTCTTTAGTTATTTTGAAGTACATGTGTGTATGTATTTGTACGTATGTATATTTTATTTTTTGGAATTCTTATTTTTCTTCATGTATGTGTATATTTCTAAAAAACCAACCCTGTACATTATGGAAAGTACAGAGGATTTTAAAAGAATACGTATCTATGTGTGAGTGTGTGTGTATATATACACATACATACATACATACATACATACACATATGGGTCTGTGTAGGGGGGAGTGTCGTTTTTAGTCCATTCGTTAATTTAAATGCATTTGTCTGCAGTGGTCAAATAGTGCCATTCATAATGTCCTTATCTGAAGGAGAAGTTTTTATTATTTTGGAAAATAGTATGGAATTTCTGAGCTTTCCATAACACAAAACTCTTGCTACTAACAACATATGTTTTAGTTTTTGGTAATTCCTTCACCACCTCTATATTCATAGAGAGGTTAGTTTCACACTTCCACTGATGAACAGGAGGAAAAGCATAGCCCATTCAAAGACCTTACTTCAGATGTTAGTCTCCTACTTTAGAGAAGAGTAAAATTTGCTCCAAGTAGCATCCGATTTCATTACAAGGAGCTTTTGAAATAATAATATGCTGTAATATATACTTACTGATAATTTATTGATAAGTCTTTTGTTCTTAATAAGGTAGCTCAGTGTATTTTCCCCTTTTTTTGCATTTATTGCCATTTTAATCATCTGAAGAGGAAATAAAATTAGTTGCAGCCACAGATAATCTCATGATTTTTCTAGGAGCTACATAAATTTTACCTTAGTTAGTATTGGTATTTTGAAATAGAAAGCTTTATTTTTTCTTTTTACAAGACTTTATGGATTCATTTGACAGAGAGAACACAAGCAGGGGGGGTGGAGGCAGAGGGAGAGGGAAAATCAAGCTTTCTGCGGAGCAGGGAGCCTGACACGGGACTCGCTCCCAGGACCCGGGGACCATTATTACCCCAGCCGAAGGCAGAGGCTTAACTGACTGAGCCACCCAGCCACTCCCGAAATACAAGGCTTCTTTTGTATTTAAGATTCACACTAGAGAAGTAGCTGCAGTTTGGTGCCAGAACAGTGGTGGTGGGTACAAAGACCTGGGGAATGTCCTGCAGCTCACTTAGTATTTTTAACTTCTCTATTCTGGAATTGTGATAACTGAAAGAGATAATTAATGTATGCAGACATGTTTGTAGTACAATGCCTAGATTTATTAGTTATCAGTAGATATAATTCTTATAACTGAGTATAGAAATGTTAGAAAAGTAGAACGTGTATGGAATATTCTCAGGACAAAGTAAGGTTAGGAAATTTGTCCAAATATATGCAGAGCTAAGGGTTTTCCTGTGGACTGTATTAGATATGAGACTGTAAACTCCATTTTAGTGTAGTCAGATGTATTAGTCTTTTCTTTCAGGCCTTCTGCGTTTGTTGTAAACCAGAGAAAGACCTTTCCAATTCTGAGATTCTTAGGATTTTGTCATGATTTCTTTTTCCTTTCATGCATTCATTGTTTTCAATTAAATTTTTGAACTTCGGGGAATTTATGCTTGTATAAAAAGTTTGAGGCTTGGATCCAACTTTGTGTTTTTCCAGTTGGATATCCACTTAACTGCAACCTCTTCTTTGTATAAACATAGGATATTCTTTGATTTCAGAGAAAATCATGATAATGTCATTTTATTGAGTTCCAGCTAAAAGACTCTTGTTTTACTTAGGTTTCTCCTCCTCATGAAAAAGAAAAAGGTCTGTTACATGAAAACCGCATGTTGCAAGATGAAATTGCCGCGCTAAGACTGGAAATAGACACAATAAGGAATCAGAAGCAGGAAAAGGAAAAGAAATATTGTGAAGACACTGAAATTGAAAAAGAAAAGAATGACAGTCTTCAAAACGCCATAAAATTGAATGACGTAACATTAAACAATACAGTATTCCAATCTAGTGGGCAGCTGAATGTTGTGACACCTGAGAATACCATGCTGAACTCTAAACTGCAGGATGAAAGGCTAAACAGAGAAAGACTGGAAGCAAAACTTCAGTCATACCGAGCTAGACTCACTACAGCTGTACAGGATCACGATCAAAGTCAGGCATCAAAAAGAGACCTAGAACTTGCTTTCCAGAGAGCAAAAGATGAGTGGTGTCATTTACAGGGCAAAATGAACTTTGAGATGTCTAACCTAAAAGATAACAATGAGGTGCTTTCTCAGCAACTTTCTGAAGCCAAAAGTAAATTCAATACCCTAGAAATTGAGCTCCAGTATCAAAGAGATGCTCTCAGAGAAAAGACTTTGGCTTTAGAACATGTACAAGGAAACCTAAAACAAACACAGGACCAGAAGATGGAAATTGAGCAGAAATCTCAAAATGAACAAGATAAAGTGAATAAGTACATTGGAAAGCACAAATCCTTAGAAGAGAGATTATCTCAACCACAAAGTGAAAATACGTTGCTCCGAGAGCAACTAGATGATGGCTACAGCAGAGTGGAGTGTAAAGAAAAGACTAGAATTGATCTCAAAGACCAGGTTCAGGTTATTGTAAGAACTCTTCAAGCTGAAAGAGAAAAACAAAGTCTTATACTGCAAGAAAGAAATAAGGAGTTAATCAACGAGTGGAAGCATTTAATAGAAAGAATATATACGTATAAAAAGGAGAAAGAAGGAAGAGAAGTAAGTATTCAGAAAGACAAATATTTTTCAAGCTTCCTGTTAGAAAATTCAAAGTAATGTTTGGTATAATGGCTTATTAGTACTTTTTGTTTGTTTGTTTGTTTTGAAGAGAAAGAGTGCACCTGCACCTAAGTGGGAGTGGAGTGGGGCAGATGCAGATGGAGAGGGAGAGAGAATCCAAAGTGGGCTCGTGGGCTCTGCCCAGTGCAGAGCTCCACATCATGACCCCGAGATCACGACCTGAATGATGATGGGTCAATTTTGAATCTAGTTGAATATAAAAAAAAATAGACACTATCAGTCAGCATAACTTTTATCCAGCAAATAAAACTTAGACCTGAGAGGTGCTTTAATTTGCATAAAAATGCTGCGTCATCTATGAGAAACCTCAAGAGGTTAAGTTATACATTGTTAAAGAAAGGAGTCTGATATTAATAATTTATTGTTAATACTACTAAAATAATTTTAATTCTTGTCACCACATTTTAATACCATGATGAACAGATAAGTGGAAATGCTCATACCTGAGTGTTTTGACCTTGAGGTTCAAATAAGTGGATTAACTTGACAACTAACTCCAGATTTGTCACATGAACTGAAGTGTAGGTGCTGTATCTCAGTACTTTTTTTTTTTGATAGCTTTTTAAACATTTTCAGTTAGCATACTTTTATTTATGTAAATTTAAATGTTTAGTCTCAAATCATTTATTCTTGTGACCTTTTAACTCTTTGAAGGCATCTACTTTTCACTAAATCATAATTTGGGATAACTGGTGACTTAGCAAAACTGTTTTTGATTTCATCTTCCCACTACAGTTTATAACTTAAGCATTTTTCAAATAATTTGCTCATTTCAAAACTCAAGTAACTACCATTTGGGCTTAAAATTTTCCAATAGAATTGTATCTTTGTGATTTATTAATTTGGCACTGGATCTCCATTTTCAGGCTACTGAGGGAGGGGTGGCAGGATTCTTGTATAGCAGGAGTGGAGTGAGCATAAACAGGGGAGGGCGCTCTAGGAGCTCTGAGGCCAGGAGGGAGGCAGAAGCCAGGTTATCTAGGGGGCTTGAGGGCCATTAGTATGACTTCACTTTTGTTCTGAGATAGTAACCTATTGGAAGGATTTGAGCAGAGGATTGAGTATGTGAAGAACTTGGAAGTTAATTTTAGCCTCTAATAAAAAAAAAAGAGAGAAAACGTTTCATTAATGTAGAATTTACCACTGCTAGTCTCACCTATATAATACCCATTTCTTTTTGAGACTTCAGCAGGCTGGGAAGGTTTGCAAATTCATCAACAAGGAATGGAGAGTGGGGCTGAAATAATTATCTAAGTAACATAACTGACTAGGCAGGAGGATAACACTTTTTGTGTCTTTAAGTGAATTCAGTTAACAGCAGTGTGTACATTCTAGGAATAGAAGGTGAGTTGATGTATGTGGTGGTAAAGTACATATGTTAGAATTCTATATTATTAACATAATAATAGGATGATTCCTAAAATCAGTAAAAGAAGGTCTTCTTAGGTAGTTATGAGAGAACTTCAACAAGAACTATCCAATACCGTAAAAAAGCAATCTATGTCACAGTCTTCACTGGAGTTATCACATTATTGTACTAAGTTAGAAGATGAGATACAGGATTTAAAGAAAACATGCAATCAAATCAAACGTCAGGTATGACATATAACATGTCAACAGTTCATCTGTAGCTGGTTAAATAATATAAAGTGTTTTAGGATGCTAATTTCCATGGACCACTTTCTTTTGTATTTTCATTTCAATTTATCATAATTTTAGTGTCTTCACCATGCACCTATTTATTAAATTCTGACTTTTCATTCTGCCATCTGTGTTACATGTTTTTTCTTATAGCATTTACCCATTCACAGAAATTGAGGGATTTTTTCCTGCTATACAATATTTTTTAAAGATTTATTTATTTATTTGAGAGACAGAGAATGCATGTCCATGCACACTCATGAATAGGGGGAGGGGCACGGGGAGAGAGAAAGAATTTCCAGGAGATTCCCTGCTGAGTACAGAGCCTCATGCCAGCTTAATCCCACCACCAGTGAGATCATGACCTGAGCTGAAATCATGAGTTGGACGCTTCAACCAGCTGAGCCACCCAAATGCCCTAAACAATGTTTTTTAATGAGATCTCTATTACCATGATGAGGTGAGTTAGATAAAATCAGAAGATACGGTTTAATAGAATGTTTCAGAAAATCGTCTTATTTCTCATCTTCACTTTTATTGATGGATATAGACTCTGTACTGATTTCAGGAAAACTTGTAAAGAAAGGTTACGACTGGGATCCCTGGGTGGCGCAGCGGTTTGGCGCTTGCCTTTGGCCCAGGGCACGATCCTGGAGACCCGGGATCGAATCCCACGTCGGGCTCCCGGTGCTCAGAGCCTGCTTCTCCCTCTGCCTATGTCTCTGCCTCTCTCTCTCTCTCTCTGTGTGACTATCATAAATAAACAACAACAAAAAAAAATTAAAAAAAAAAAAGAAAGGTTACGACTAGTGGAACTGAGGTGTTTCCTTCATTTTCTTTTCCTTTTATATATTTATTTATAAATATTATAAAAGGGATCCCTGGGTGGCGCAGCGGTTTGGCGCCTGCCTTTGACCCAGGGCACGATCCTGCAGACCCGGGATCGAATCCCACATCGGGCTCCCAGTGCATGGAGCTTGCTTCTCCCTCTGCCTGTGTCTCTGCGCCTCTCTGCCCCTCTCTCTCTCTCTCTCTCTCTCTCTCTATCATTAAAAATAATAATAATAATAAATAAATAAATATTATAAAATATTTACGTTTTGAATATTTTTTAAAAAGCTTTATTTATTTATTCAGAGAGAGAGAGGCAGAGACACAGGCAGAGGGAGAAGCAGGCTCCATGCAGGCAGCCTGACGTGGGACTCGATCCCGGGTCCCCAGGATCACACCCCGGGCTGCAGGCGGCGCTAAACCGCTGTGCCACCGGGGCCGCCCCATTTTTAATACTTATATATTAAAAATGCATGGAAATATTCAGATGATGTATATACAGCCAAAAGAGAGAATTAAGAAAATTATCTAGGTCCTGCCATTGGCTCTTTTTAAAAGGTTTATTGAGCTATAAATACAACTACCATATAGTTGACCCATTTAACAGTGTAGTTGTCGCTGAATCTATGTATAGGGTTTTGCAACTATCACTGCCATCAGATAGAACATTTTCATCACCCTGAAAAAAAAACCCTTAGCTGTTGCCCCTGATCTCCAGCAAGCAGGAATCTACTTCTTGTCTCCATAGAGTTGCCTATTGTGAATGTTTCATATAAAGGGAGTCACACAGTGTGTGGTCCTTTGTGACTTGCTTCTTTCACTTCCTGTTTTCAGGGTTCACCTGTGTTCTAGCATATGTCAGTGCTTCATTTCTTTTTCTGGTCAGACAGTCCTCCATTGTGGGCCAAAGCCCTTGTTCATTCATCATTTAATGCACCTTCGGGTTATTTCCACTTTGTGGCCCATAATAATGCTGCTGTGAACATTGATTTAGTTGTTGTCTGGACATCTGTTTGTATTCCCCCGCCATCAGATTTTATCCTTTAAGTTAATTGGGGTGATTTTACCATCTCTCAGCCTTTTTTTTTTTTCTTTTTTTTACTCATTCTACCCTTTCTGTCTTTTTAGTTTCCCTTCCTCTTGCCTAATCCTACACTATTGAGACCTGGCTCATTGTCTCTCATTCTCCATGAGGCTTTCTCTGATTATTCTAACTCCCCCTGAACTTACTTTCTTCACCTGTATCCTCTGGTCTGTGCAGACCAGTTTAGTCCTTTATTTTACATTGTTTTTATTTTTTTCATGAGCGATAATTCTGTCTTCCTATGTACAAATGTATCTAAGAGGGAAAATATTTTATGTGTATGGTACCTATCCTTGCATAAATTTGAGAATATCTTAACAGTTTTTAGGATAAAATTAAGTACTTTATACCATAGCAGTAATTTCTGATTGAAACACATTGACATAACAAAGCTGTATTCTAAATGTATTTTAAGCAGTTAAGTGTAAAACTGAAAGCATTTAATCTGATCGGGCAAAGTGTTCAATTGGATGCTGGTTTTTCTGATTATGGCAAAACAGTCTAAATATGCCTGCCTTCATTGTGCAACCAGAACTGAGATTTACAGAGTTCCAGCTCTTTACCAATTATAAAGCTCTGAGGACAGGTTTTTAAATTTTTTTAAGTTTATTTATTTATATAATCATTACGTCTATTGTGGGGCTTGAACACGACCTGAAGGTTAACAGTTGGATGTTCTTTTAACTGAGCCAGCCAGGTGCCCCTGGGGGCAGCTTTTCTGATATGCCACACCACAGAGCCTTACTTAATCTCTACTCATCACAGTACTTGCTAAAGCCCTCTAACATAAACAGTTGCTAAGATGAACAATATGAACGTGAAATGATTTGGGAACATTGGTTTAGCAAGAGTCCATTATTTCCACGTGAGTGGCTTTACCTTGCCTCTGATGGTCATGTAAGTTATGTATCACGCAGTGTAGGAGTTACTGTTTGCACTGTAGTCCATGAGCATTGTCCACTGAGTAATATAGAGAGGAGGTAAATTAAAATTATTATAAGTGGAGGAAAGTACCATTGGCTAGTGGAATTTGTGAAATTTTTTTCTTAAGATTTAAAAAATTTTTTTTAACTTTTGTTTATTTACTCATGAGAGACAGAGAAAGAGAGAGGCAGAGACATGGGCAGAGAGAGAAGTAGGCTCCATGCAGGAAGCCTGATGTGGGACTTGATCCCAGGACTCTAGGATCAAGCCCTGAGCCAAAGGCAGATGCCCAACCGCTGAGCCACCCAGGCATCCCTTCTTTTAAGATTTTATTTGCGAGAGAGAGAGATAGAGAGGGGGAGGAGAAGTGAAGTGAAGTGAAGAGAAGAGAAAAGAACATGAGTGCACAAGCAGGGGGAGGGGCAGAGAGAAAGGGAGAAGCAGGCTCCCTGCTGAGCAGGGAACCTGATATTGGGGTCTCAATCCCAGGACCCCAAAATCATGATCTGAGCCCCCAGCAGATGCCTAACTGACTGAGCCACTGAGGCACCTGTAGTGAAAGTGTTTTGAAGTCCTGAGGCTATATCCTGGGCCTTATGCTCCCCATTTGCTACCGCTTTCAGTGGTATGAAGAATGGTTTCAATATAACTTGTATAAGAGATCACCTCTATTGGCCTGCCATCTGCCTAAAATATCAAATATCATTAGAACATAAAACACAGCAACAATAATAATGCTAATTGCAGACACTTAGAATTTGGTATGTGCCACATACCCTTCTAAGTAGTTTATGTATATTCCCTAATTTAAACTTCCGACTATCACGGTGAGGTAGATACTATTATTAACTTCATTTTACACATGAAGAAACTGAGACACAGAAATTTGAAGTAATTTTTCAAGGTCAAACAGCTAATGCCCAGGGGAGTTGGAAATTCAGATCCAGGCATTCTGGTTCCTACAGAGATCCTGCCTCTGAAGCTGTTACTTGAAATATCTGATTGTCCCTGAAAGCAGCATGTTGACTTGTATAATCACTGGAATGCCCATGGTGATTTGTAAATGTGAATATTTATAAAATTATAATTGATGTGGTGCTTGGAATAGAAAACTAGAAAAGTTTACCATAAGGTAATTGCCTGTTTTTCCTCCTTTGAACAATATGTAAATTTGTATGTGTACCTGATAAAATATAATTTAAAAACGTTAGAATGTTGTTTTTTAATACTAGAAGAGTGGTCAGAAAGCTTTTCTGTCAGGGGATTGTAAATATTTTGGACTTTGCAAGTCATAGGTCACTATTGTAGCACTATAATTCTGGGGTAGCCTTAAATCAGTATGTAGAGGAAAATGCGGCTGTGTCCAGTGACATTGTATTTACGAAAACAGATGGTGGTGGTTTTATACTAGATTGTCAGTAGTTAAAAGTATTTCTTTTCTATTTTAGGTACAAGAAGCAGAGGATCAACATACAAAGATTGTAAGATGTATTGAGAAGTCGCGAGATCACGAGAAAAAGTACAATTTTTTTTTTAAGATTTTATTTATTCGTGAGAGACACAGAGAGAGAGACCTAGGCAGAGGGAGAAGCAGCCTCCCTACAGGAAGCCTGATGCAGAACTCGATTCTGGGACTCCAGAATCATGCCTTGATCCAAAGGGAGACGCTCAGCCACTGAGCCACCCAGGCGTTCCACAACAGTACAATTGAAAGCAGCACAGAAAATAACTTGAGTATTTATAAAGCAGATAAGTAGTATAGTATGAGAAATATACCCATTATGATAAATACATCATTGTTTAGCTGGGTAAAAATATCAGCTTTGTGGGATTTTGAAATGCATAATTTTTGCTTACGATCTTTACATTTTGTACATTAACCCCAAAACACAACCAGAAAAATGGCACAATTGCCAAATCTACTTTTTAAATTTTTAAGAATTTATGCAAGACCTTTAGATGTTTGATTAGAAATTATGTGGTATGTTTAAAATTTGTGTCTGAGAATAAATACTTTAAAATATGCATTTTAGGCTTGAAGTTGAAAATGCCAAGTTAAAAGTTACAATCAAGGAGCAAGCAGGCGAAATTGAACAGCTTCAGAAAGACCTGTTAAGTTCAAGTTCGGTAAGTCAGTCTCTTAATTTCTGTCCTAAGGAGAAGGAATTTTTATATCTCTAGTAGTGTATAAGAACATTTTGGATAATATGAAAATTCTCACTCATAAAAATATTTATTATATTCATATGGTTGCTATTTAACTACTCTTGGTATAATTCCTCTTTATAGATAAAGTTGACTGAATGCATAAATTAATCATTTTTGTAGTAAGATTTTAATAAAAAGCATTGTGATAGCCTAAGCAAAGCAGTATTTTATATATATCACATTTTGTGTATCTGTCAGTGATCGTTTGGGTTTTTCTGCCTCTTAGCTGTTGTTGGTAATGCTGCTATGAATATTGGTATACTAATGTCTGAGTCCCTGCTAATATTTTTCAATATGTTTAAAATTCCCCAAACTTTGAGTAATAATTTGATATTGAATGCTGACTTTCTCTTGTAATCTAAACCCTTCACTGAGATTTTGAGAATGAATTACTTTACTAATAATTTGTAGTGATTTGTAATTACAAATTGGTAATGTGTTGTCTTCATTAAAAATGACTACGAGGGGGATCCCTGGGTGGCTCAGTGGTTTGGTGGCTGCCTTGGGCCCAGGGCATGATCCTGCAGTCCCCGGATTGAGTCCCAGATGGGGCTCCCTGCATGGAGCCTGCTCCTCCTCTGCATGTGTCTCTGCCTCTGTGTGTGTGTGTGTGTGTGTGTGTCTCATAAATAAGAAAATAAAATCTTAGAAAAAAGTAGAATGACTACTAGGTAATTATGCAAACATTTTTCTCAAAGGGATGTAGTTATCTCCTTGTTGGATTTTGTAAAGAAAAAGAGATGCCAGTGAAAAAGTAGAAATGACTGCTCGGTCAGGGCCTTATAGAGTAACCTAGTGCTCGTAGCATTCATTGCAAGTTCAGAAACGAATGTTTTTCTGTTACCTTGAGTTAATCATACTTTCAGAGATTTAACAGTCCAATCTCAGAAAAGATTAATGTGCAATCCAGGACTCCAGTTTATTGATGGGTAGTGAAAACTATATAACCATTTACAAGCAGTACAGGATTATCGTGCCATTCATACCGTCCTTTGTAGGAGTGGCTACCAATGATTTAAGATGAGAAGATTGCTTTGGGACTTCTAAGCTGGAACTATGAGGTAGATGGACCTTCAACTAGTTTCTTTCAGTGACAAAAGTTAGGTGCATGCAAATTTCATTAAACGATCATACCTATCGGGGGAACTAGCACATTCTGTTGACTGGTCCTTTCTGTGGCCAAAGAAACATCGAAAAAAACTTTTTTTCCTGACTTCATATAAAACTGCTCAAGTTGTTTTACTGTACTTTTCATGCAGTTAACTTGACAACATGTTGATAAGGAGTCTTATCGCTGACTGAGAGTGCCATGAGTTGTCCCCCTACAATATCACACAGGAATCTATTAGGGAAGCCATCACATATTACAGAGTTTGTAAGAATATCCATAGATATTCTGTAGATTTCTCCAGAAATGAATTAGGGTTATGGTATAAAATTATTAGCCACTTTAAGCTTACCCTATAACATAAAAACTTAAATAGCTTTCCAGCAACTTAGTTCATAGCCCTAATTTCTCTAGAAGGTTCTCACCTCATGAATCCCCAGGACAGAGACTACGTCTGTGTTAAGATATTTCATGGACACCATTTTGAGGTGAAGAAATCTGGATTGGGAAGGAGAGTTAGCTCTAGCTGACTTAAGCCTCTGAACAAAATAGTCAAGTGTGTGTCTGAAACGGACTTAGAAGAAGACTTCCGTAAGTTCACATCTCTATGGAATAGGAAAGTACTCAAAAGGAAACAAAGGCAAACCATCCATAATCCAACCCTTGGGAAGAACTTTTGCATTATAAAAGAAAGACAAAGTACAGTGGTCAGCATCCTGAGGGTAAGGGTGTCCCCCCACCCCCGAGATTAAAAAAATAATACACTCGGGACGCCCGGGTGGCTCTTGCATTAAGCGTCTGCCTTCAGCTCAGGGCATGATCCTGGAGTCCTGGGATTGAATCCTCCATGAGGCTCCCTGCATGGAGCCTGCTTCTCCCTCTACTTGTCGCTTTGCCTCTCTCTCTCTCTCTCTCTCTCTCTCTCTCTCTCTCTCTGCCTCTCCCCCCCCCACCCTCTCCCTCTGTACCTCTCATGAATAAATAAATGAATAAATAAAATCTTTAAAAAATAATACACTCAAAGTAATACCAAAAAGAGTCAAGATAAAATGTACAAGATTAGCTGTGTGAGGTGCCTGTGTGGCTTAGTGGGTTAAACATCTACCTTCGCCTCAGGTCATCATCTCAGGGTCCCAGAATCGACTCCTGCATCAGGCTCCCTCCGCAGCAGGGAGTCTGCTTCTCCCTCTGTCTCTGCTCCTCTCCCCATTTGTGCTCTCTCTCTCAAATACATAAATTAAAAAATATAAAAATAACAGATTAGCTAACTAGAAAGGTAATGCACGTCAGGTAGCAGGTACTGAATGTGTGGTTGAAAATATTGTCTGTGAGGAACTAGAAGGAAGATGGAAGCATATACATGACCTCAGTAAATGGGTCAAGGCTGAAAATGTAGAGTAGAGCATCTGGTTTTGAAGCCTTGGGATTTGGAGAACTCTGAGAGGATGTGAAAAAGAGGAATAGCAAGGGTCCAAGGACTGAATGTCAGCATTTGCTGTCATTTAGAAATGAAATGGGATTAGAAGAGCAGAGGGAAGATGTGGTCATTGTTTTCAGCTGCTGCTGAGAAGTAAAGCAGGATCAGGACTTGTTAAAAAAAAAAAAAAAAGATCCTTGATGATCGTCAAAATTTTTTAGTGGAATTCCAGGATTGAAAGTCAGATTTTAGTGTAAAAGAAGCGATGAAACGATGAATCTGTGGCTGATATGACACATTAAAGAATGTTCGAGTCCAGTGAAAGGGGAAAAGCAAGATGATCAAAAATGCTGCAAGAGTAAGGAAACGTTTTTATAGAATATTGGGAGGCTTAAATTTTATTTAAATAGAAAAGAAGAAATTGAAATTTTGCAGAGAAGGAGAGTATCTCATCCTAAAGTCAGATGATCATCAAAATTATAATGGGGACAGTATGGGAATTTTTCAGAGACTATCTTAATAAGGTGTGATCTCACAAAACCCCGAGTATCTTAAGATGTTGGTGAAACTGCTTCTAGGACATCTCTAGAAACTCAAATGTAAGTATAGCCACTTGAAAGATTTTTTTCATTAATGCTTGTATTAATGTGGATTAAAACCCTCTGTATTTCCCAAGTAAATTTTGGCAATTTAAATTCTAGAAACAAAAATGATGAAAATATAAACTCAGTTGAAGCTGTTTTAACAAACATCCTTATTTTTGAGATTTCTTGTCATTGACATTTGGCTCATAATCTACATTTTATATGTATTTTATAAACCTGTCTAAACACATATTACTCATGGATTCATGAGAAATAGCATTTTATAAAAGAAGAAGGAGTCTTTCGATTTTTGAAACTAATGTTCTTAAAAAATTGTTTCCAAGGTGTGGTGATGAAAAGGAAAACCTAAAGAAATGTATGGAGTTGACACAGTCTTTGCAGTTCAGGTTGGATCAAGAAGTGAAGAAAAATGAGGAATTAGAAAAAGAGAATACTGGGTAAGACTAACATTTCACATCACTTTAACCATTAATTAATTTACCTGTAATTGTACTTTATAAAAACCTAAATAGAAACTCTTGCCAAAATACTACATTTACTCTTCAGTGATTCCTTAAATAATAACAACAATGCCTTTGACATATGTTGTCAACTGCACTTTTCATTGTCCACCTTGAATTATGTCTGCAAGATATCTTTGTTCTTAGATAATCTTTCCTTTTAATAGTGTTCTTTTCTTAGAGCAGATATCCTAATCTCTAAAAACGTATCTGTGTCATTATGTAACAACATCAAAAGTTACCTTGGTTTCGCATGTATTTCTTTTTATTTATATTATTTACTTGAAATTCAAATTAATTAACTTATAGTGTAATATTAGTTTCAGAGGTCGAGTTCAGTGATTCATCACTCTTATGTAACACCCAGTGCTCATGCCATCACATGCCCTCCTTAATCCCCATCAGCCAGTTACCCCATCCCCCACAATCCCTTTCCCTCCAGCAACCCACAGTTTGTTTTCTAGTATTGAGTGACTTATGGTTTGTGTCCCTTTCTGATTCCGTCTTGTTTTACTTTTCCTTCCCTTCCCCTATGCTACTCTGTTTTGTTTCTTAAATTCCACATATGAGTGAAATCATATGATAATTTTCTTTCTCCAATTGACATATTTTGCTTAACATTATCCCCTCTCGTTCCATCACATCATTGCAAATGGAAGATTTCATTTTTCTTTTTTATAAATATATTATTTTTTCATGAGGGGCACACAACACACACACACACACACACACACACACACACAGTGAGAGATAGAGAGGCAGAGACCTAGGCAAGAGGGAGGAGAAGCAGGCTCACTGCAGAGAGCCCGATGTGAAACTCGATCCCGGGATCATGTCCTGAGCCAAAGGCCAACTCTCAGCCACTGAGCCACCCAGGGGTCCCAAGATTTCATTGTTTATTGGCTGAGTAATATTCTGTTCTCTCTCCCCCTCCCTCGCTCTCTATCTAATAAATAAATATGATTATTTATATCTATATCACATCTTCTTTATACATACCTCTTTCAAAGAACATTGGATCTCCTAGTTTGGCTATTGAGGATATTAACTGCTATAAACATACGGGTGCAGGTGCCCCTTTGGATGCCGACCAAAATGATCTTTGGGATTCATACCTTCTAGCACAATTGCTGGGTTTTACATAGGTAGCTCCTTTTTCAACTCTTTGAGGAACCTTCAATCTGGAGTTGTCTTTGTGTCTAAAATGAGTCTCTTGCAGATAGCATATCGATGGATCTTGCCTTTTTTTTTTTTTTTTTTTTGTAATCCACTGTGATACCCTGTGTGTTTTGATTGGGGCATTTGGCTTGTTTACATTCAGAGTAACGATTGAAAGATATGAATGTAGTGCCATTGTATTACGTGTAAAGTCCTTGTTTGGGTGTACTGTGTCTGTTCCTTTCTGGTCTGTGTTACTTTTGGGCTCTCTGTTTGCTTAAAGGTTCCCCTTTACCACTTCCTGCAGGGCTGGTTTAGTGATCACAAATTCTTTTAGTTTCTGTTTGTCCTGGAAGCTTTTTATCTCCCCTTCTATTTTGAATGAGGTCCTTGCTGGATAAAATTCTTGGCTGTAGATTTTCTCATTGAGCACCCTGAGTATATCATGCCAGCTCTCTCTGGCCTGCTAGGTCTCTTTGGATAGATCTGCTGCCAGTCGAGTATTTCTCCCCTTCTTGGTTCAGGGCTTCTTGTTCCAAGCTGCTTTAGGATTTTCTCTTTGTGTCTGAAATTTGCAAGCATTGCTATTATATGTTGAGATATTGACCTGTTTTTTTTATTGATTTTGAGGAAGGTTCTCTGTGCCTCCTGGCACTTGAGTGCCTGTATCTTTCCCCAGATGAGGGAAGATCTCTGCTATAATTTGCTCAAATATGCCTTCTGCTCCCTCCTTCCCCTCTTCCTCTGGGATCCCCATTATTCTAACATTGTTTTGCTGTGTGGTACGACTCATCTCTCAAATCCTCCTGTCATAGTCCAGTGGTTGTTTCTCTCGCCTTTCCTCAGCTTCTTTATTCTCCATCGTTTTGTCTTCTATATCACTATTTCTCTGTTATGCCCCATTTATCCTAGCAGTTAGAACCTTCATTTTTTATTGCATCTCACTAAGATTAGCCTTTTTTAGCTCAACTTGATTAGATATCAGTTGTTTTGTTTCTCCAGAAAGGCATTCTCTAGTGTCCTCTGTGTGTTTTTTAAGCCCAGCTATTATCTTGATGGTCATTATTCTGAACTCTCGCTCCAGCCTCTTACTTATTATCCATGCTGATTAGGTTCCGGACAGTCAGCACTACCTCTCGTTCTCTTTGTGGCGGTGAGTTTTTCCATCTTGTCATTCTGTCCAGAGAAGAAGAGATGAGTGAGAGAACAGAATAGAAAAATATCGAGAATGACCCCAGAGTAATATATGCTAAACAAATCAGAAGAGACCCGAAACCAATAAAAAGATTTAAAAAGGTGATAATAGAATTAGAGAGCTGAGCAGAGCAGTACACTGGATCCTATGTGTATTTTGGTCTGTTTGATAGGAAATTGCATCCCCAAATGGTTAAGAGGAAACCTTGTATATACACAAAATAAGATTAAATACAACGAAAGGCTAGAATGTAAGTGTAAAAATGGAAATTAAAAGTCAAAATACAAAAAGGATATTATCAGGCAGTTGAACAGAACCGAGCAATATACCATATCCTATGTATATTTTGGTCTCTTTGTTATAAGAAATTACATCCCAAAATTGTAAAGAATGAAAAGCTTCATTACATGCAAAAATAAAATTAAATGCAATGAAAGGATAGAATTTAACTGTAAATATGAAAATTAAGATAGATTTTAAAAATAATATAATCAGATGAAGAGAATAGAGCAGTATAGTAGATTCTGGTTGTATTTTAGTCTATTTCTTAGAAGGAACTACTTCCCGAAATGGTACAGAGAGAAAAACTTCCATATATACAAGAATACTACTAAATGCAGTAAAAGGATTGAATGTAAGTGTAAAAAGGTAAATTGTAAAAGAGTTGATAAGCGATGAAATTGGTTGAAAAGGAAAAAGAAAATTAAAATAGAAAGACTAAGGAGTCGTGAGAAATAGCCATGAATTCTATATACTGTTTGCCCCTAGCACTGGAGTTCTGCAGCTCTCTGTGATGAGTAAAGTTGGTCTCAGCTGGATGTTGTTGCTGACCTCCTGGGGAGAGGCCTGTTGGGATGATTCTTAGGTGTCTTTGCTTACGGTGGGATTGCACCACCCTTGCCAGGGGGCCAGGCCAGGTAAGCAGCTCCAGATTGCTCTCTGTGGCTTTTGTTCCCTGATGGCTTTCTGGGCAGCTTTAGAGGATGAGAATGGAAATGATGGCCTCCTAATCTCCAGCTCTGGAATTGAAAGATCTCACTCCCTACTGCGTCTCCCTGGTTTCTGTCTGCACTCTGTATTCACCCAGCCTGTGACCAAGCATTTTTATCTCAAGCACACAACCCCCTTTCGGTTTTCCAAACTTTGCGGACCCCTGTAGCCCCCATTCACGCTGTGCCTCCAGGGGGAAGGAGGAGGTCTTGCCCAGTTTTGCCACTTGCTGGACCCCTGCTTGGAGAGTGGTCACCTGACTGATCCTCGGTTTGGGGTTTATGGCAACACGGAGCTGAATGCCCACTCCTGGGCTCACTGATTGCAACTGGTTTCCCTGCTCAAATGCCTTGGCAACTGCCATACTCAGGCGCCCCCAATCTTTCTGTGGCCCCCAGGGATCCTGAGACCACACTGTCCATCCCACCTAGGATGCTGCCCCCCGTTGCCACCTGAGCACCTTTCAGACAGGGATGTCCTCACTGGAACAGACTTCTTAAAAGTTTTGGTTGTGCACTCTGCTGCTATATCACTTTCCAGGACTTGCCTTCTGGCTTCCAGAGGCTCCCTGCCCCCATGGTTTATCTTCTGATATATGCCTGGACATTTCCAATCTCCTCGCAGGGCACTGTTCTATTTGTAGAATTGCAACAATTCTTTTCTTGGCTCTCTGTCTGAGTTCACAGGTGTTCAGATGATTTGATAGCTATGTAGCTGAATTCCAGACACCAGACAAAACTTCCTACTCCTCCACCATCGTCCTCTTCTTCCAGAAATTCTGTATATTCAATCGATCAATATTAATTGTACTTTTTATTAGACTCCTCTGAACAGCAATATAGGTTTCTTCTCAGTTATCCAGATTAAACTAAATAGGGATTTATTTATGTGATTATCTTTCTATTTAAGCAATCCGTAACTTTTACTCTCTAAAAGTATCATTTTCAGACCATGTTTCATAAGCAAAATAAAATTCCTACAATAATGTCTCTTGTTTAACTTGAACATTGTAAGTAACGTTTGATTTATTTCAGATGCAGGAGCTGAAGAAAATATAACTAGAGAACTAAAAGAAGGTATGTTGCCAAATGTATGAATTTAGATGGTCATTAATTTCTGAAATAAACCACAAATAGTAACTGGCATCCCTTCCCCTTGTTAAAATTTTGTCTAGATATATCTAATAAAAATGTAAAACATAAACATAATGAATAACAGACTTATTCCTCATTTGGTCATCGTGTTTCATACCTTTTTTAAAAATCTGCTGTCTGTGCACCTGTTATCACTTTTCACTTGTGCCATCGCTATTCAGCTGTCAATCTGAAAATGTGGGCGTTCTCAAACTCTTGTTTCTGCTAGTGGTAGAAGACCAAAAAGACCAGACTTGTCTTAGTAATACTTAATTAAGCAATTATATAGTTCATATAGCTGTCCCTTGACAGGTGACATTTCAATCTCCAGCCAATGGTTTTGCCATTGGGTAAAATTCCAGGTTCCTTAGCGTGGAATACAAACACCCAAATCAATTTGGTTCTTGCCACGTTGTTGAGCCTTCTCTGTCGCTATTACCCTACTCTGCTGCTTTGCAGAGAGTAATCATTCAGGTATCAGCCTACCTATTCCCTCCACTGAAAAGCAGACAATATTGATAGAAAACCAGGATGTCCCTTCTGTGTGTTCTTAGAGTGTCTTGTTTTAAACCTGTCGTGGTATATTTGACTCTAGAAATTGCCTGTTTGATTTTTCAGTTGATAGTATATGATTGTTCAGGGGTGGACTGTGCCATCAGCTTGCAATCTTATCTTGTAATGAGAAAACCAGAAGCTCTAGTATTGATCCACAGTAGTAATTAATTCAATGGCCAATCGTGAGCAAACTTGATTTAATAGTAATCTTGTATTTTATATTGTAGTTATATGTAGATATTTTTCATTCTTAACACTCAGAAGATTCCAACTTTTTTTTACTAACTTCTAGTTAACTATAAAGTATTTCAGATAAAGACTATTATTATTCTTTCTCTTTTTCAGCTGCTCGTGAATTAGAATCAGGATTCTGTAGATCCTCTCCTTTAGGACCTACTGATGAATCAAATGTAAATCAAGATCTAGTACTGCAAGCATGACGAGAATATGGAGAGATTTTGAATAAAAAGTATATGATCTGAAAGATACATAGTAAAAGTTTATCACCTAGATGTTTAATAAAACATTTTAATTGTTTCCCAGTAAATGTCTGTTGTACAAAAAATCTTTATTAAAGGAAATTTTGCTATATCGTGTGTAATGAAAGTTTATATACTATTTTAAGCTATGTTTCTTGGTGTCTGATGAACTTTTAAGCAGTGGAAACTAGCATGCTTCAGTCTGCCCAAGTAACAGCCTTTTAAACAGCACCCAAACAACCAAGTTGTCAATATTTCAGTGGTGTTAACTGATAGCTTTTTTTTGTATTTTAGTTTCTATTACTGGACCTATGGATTTAGACAGACATCATTTTGATTTACTGCTGCTAAGGCTATCTACCAGTGGTACATGTAATACAATTTTTATAGTGCCATAAAACCCGTGTATAATTTTAATTTTAAATACTTATTCATAGCTCTTTCCTCATGGTGAAATAAGATTTGCCTAAGTCTTTTTACCTTTTCTGTTTATTTTTTATTTACTTTTTGAGAAATTAGAGAAAAGTAAAAATAAAGAAAAGTAAAAATTAGAGAAAAGTAAAATTAAAATTAGAGAAAATTAGAGAACAGTCTTAAAATTAGAGAAAAGTAAAAATAAAGAAAAAGAACTTTCCCCCCCAGGACTTTGGAAGTAAATTGTTAAATTATGCCCAATTCCTGTAGCATTTTCATCCTGCAAGTCAGTACATTCCACATAGCTACCGTACAACCCTGCCAATCAGAAAATCAACACTAATGCAATTGACCCTTGAATACTGTGGAGCTTAGGGGCACTGATACTCTGTAGTGAAAATCTATGAACCTTTGACTCCCCCAGGCACGTAACTACTAATAATCTGATGTTCACCAGAATATTTATTGTACCAAAACAGTCAATTAACCTATGTTTTGTGTGTTATATGTATTCCATACTATATTCTCCCTACAAAGTAAGGTAGAGAAAAGAAAATTAAACAATCAGAAGGAAGAGAAAATACATTTACAGTACTGTATTTTTAAAAAATCGGCATATAAGTACACCCAAACTATGTTAAGTATACATCTTTTTTTTATTTAAATTCAATTTGCCAACATTTACAAGGGTCATCGGTTTCAGATAAAGTTTTCAATAACTCATCAGTTGTGTATAACACCCAGTGTTCATCAAGTCACGTGCCCTTCTCCATGCCATCACTGAGTTACCCCAGCCCCCCATTCACCTCCCCTTGAGCAACCTTCAATATATTTTCCAGACTTAAGTCTCTCATGGTTTGTCTTCCTTTCTGATTGTTCCCCATTCAGTTTCCCCTCCTTGCACTATTTCTTATATTCCGCCTATGAGTGAGACCATACAGTAATTGTCTTTCTCCAATTGACTTGTTTCACTCCAGCATAATACCCTCCAGTTCCATCTACGTTGATGCAAATGGTAGGTATTCATCCCTTCTGGTGGCTAAGTAATATTCCATTGTGTATATATACCACATCTTCTTTATCCATTCCTCTGTTGAAGGACATCTTGGCTCCTTCTACAGAATGGCTATTGTGGACATTACTACTATAAACATTGGGGTGCAGGTGCCCCTTCATTTCACTACATTTGTATCTTTGGGATAAATACCCAGTTGTGCAATTGCTATATCAACTATACCCTCTATCATTTAAACCTCATATTCTTTTAAAGCTTTGACAGTTGTCTGTAGTATCCTTTATAGCAAGGAAGATTTTATTTATTTATGAGAGATGCAGAGAGAGAGAGAGAGAGGCAGAGACAGAGGGAGAAGCAGGCTCCATACTGGGAACCTGATGTGGGACTCGATTCTTGGTCCCCAGGATCGCGCCCTGGGCCAAAGGCAGGGCTAAACCACTGAGCCACCTGGGCTGCCCTAGAATGTCTTTCAATGTGGGTTTTTCTTATATTTCCTTATGATCAAATTCAGATCATATATTTTAGCAAGAGAACGACTGAACTGGTCCTCTACTCTTCTATTGCATCATATCATGTGACCTACAATTTTCATTTGTCCCATTGTTGGTGATGTTGATTGCTGGAGTAGTATCTTCAGTTTTCTCCTCCAGAATGTTAACTTTGTACTTTATAATTACCTCCAAATAGTATCACATTGAACACTAAGACTTAAGTCATGAGTGTGGAGGTCGAGAAAATTAGGGCCATTCAAGTTTAACATGGGCACAAGTACAGCCATTGTAGCTTCAACAGCCATCTCAGGCCGCTGTGACCAGGAACTGAACTCTACCCTACCCCGGCTACAGAAAAAAACCACCTTATTCCTTATCAGAATAAGGAAGCAAGAGCTTGTGAGACCTCTTTACTTGAGATTCTCACACCCCCATCCTTACTGAAAAACCCCACCTTACCCCTATACCAGCCCATAAAATCCCAGCTGTAACTCACCTCAGGGTCCAAGTCCCTGGTCTGCTGTGTTGGGTATACTTGGACCCAAGCTCGAGCTTGTTAATAAACCCTCATGTACTTACATCGGTGTCGGCTCCTTGGTGGTTTTCTCGGATTTGCAGTCTTAGGCACAGCAATGAGTTTGGGAGTGGCGGTACAGAAATATTCAGTCTAGAGCAAGGCTGTTCCTTGTTCTTGGCCATGTAGGCTTCCTCACTATGCTTGCTTCATGAAGCTAAAAAGGAGGATTTCACTGCACAGAAGCCTCAGTCCTCTTTTAAGGATTTCACCTGATTAAATCAGGCTTACTTAGAATAATTCCCTTTTGATTAACTCAAAATTAACTGAATTATATCTGTAAAATTCCTTTACATTCGCCATGTTGTAATGGCTAGAATCAAATCACAGATCTTGCCTACACTTAGAAAAGGTGAGAACACCAAAGGGCATTTATTATGGGGCCACCTAGGATCTTTACGTTACAATTATATTGAAAAAGTTTCCTTATAATACTAGTTTTTTCTGTTTTATCATGAGTGAATGTTGAATAATGTTTATTTTGCATATATTGAGATAATTTTTAAAAAATGTGTCAGTGTGGTGAATTATATTTGCTCATGTTAAACCAAACTTGCATTCCTCAGGTAAACTGAATTTAGTTGTAATTTCATTTGTTTAATACAGTGTTACTCATGATCTGCTAATATCTTGGTGAGGATTTTTTTCCTCTCTATTCATGGATAATGATGATGCAAGGAATTTTGAATATTTTAACTCAACTTACATGTCTCCAAACTTATGTGTATTGTTGCTTTGTTTTAACTGTCTTGTATCTCTAAAAAATACATGACATTTTTGCAACCTTTTTTTCCCTAAGATTTTATTCATTCAGGAGGGACACAGAGAGGGAGGCAGAGACATAAGCAGAGGAAGAAGCAGGCTCCCTGCCAAAAGCTGGATGTGGGACTTGATCCCACAATTCCTGGGATCATACCCTGAGCTGAAGGAAGATGCTCAACCACTGGGCCACCCAGGTGTCCTGACATTTTTGCAATTTTTATAATGTATTGTCAGTGTTCATTTAAAGTGATCCGCATGTTTAATTTTTTTTTCCCTATTGCATCTCAGAACTTCTATCTGGGACTATTTTTCTTCTGTTTGTTTATGTACATGTTTTAAAATTTTCATTAGTGAGATAGGCCTGGTAATCAATCTCTGTTTAAAAATGTCTTTATTTCCTCTTATTCTTGATGTACATTTTAACTGCATCTAGAGAGTCCTAGGTTTTTGTTTTTTTTTTTTTTTGATCATACAGAAAATGTCATTCCACTACCCTTTGTCTTTCAGAATTACTATTTAAAAATTAGCTGTCTACCTTTTTCTCCTTTGAACATAACCTATTCCCCACCATGTCCCTTTCCTGCACAATCTGTGGTTATTTTTAAGATTTTACTCTTGGGGGTAAAAAAAGGGGATTTACTCCTTGTTTTTATGCTATTATGTGTCTAGATTTGGATGTCCTATTTATCTTATAATGTTCCATAATTGGAATTCATTTGGCTTTTTGAATCTGTGATTTGATGTCTCAGATTAAACATATTTAGTTAGATCTTACGTAAACTCCATATTTCTTAACCTCTCTTTGCATGTTTCCATGGCTGTTTTTGGTCTCTTTTCTATATTCTCAATTATTTATTCATTTTCCTAGCCTGCTATCCAGCCTGCTATCTGACCTATCCATAGAAATTTAAATCTGGGTTGTTGCATTTTGAAATAAGTTTTCTTTGGGTCTTTAAAAAAAATCTATTAAAATAATATTTTTAGCTTTTTATTCTTTGAAGTATATGGTGTTTTTTTTTTAAATGATTAGCTGAGGACATACTTTTAATGAGAAATAAAGGACAAGGGTAGGGACCACTAATCAGAAAATGGGAATTAGGGACACCTGGGTGGTTCAGTGGTTGAACATATGTCTTCAGCTCAGGGTGTTATCGCAGGTCCAGGATTGAGTCCTACATCGGGCTTCCTACGAGGAGCCTGCTGCTTCTTCTGTCTATGTCTCTGCCTCTCTCTCTGTGTGTCTCTCATGAATGAATAAATGAAGTCTTTAAATAAAAGAAAATGGGGATGACTACACTTTTGTGTTTTTTTTTATTCTCTAACTTTAAAATGCATAATGTGAAAACCAGACAAAGACCCCCACTAAAAAGAACTACAGGCCAATATCTCTGATTTTTTTTAGTAGGGAAATAGTTTTATTATTTATATTTATATAATGGAATAATATGTGGCCATTAAAGAGAATGAAGCTGCATATGTGCTGATACAAAATATACAAGGTATCCTGTTTTACACAAGGAACAAAATAATGTCATAGCTTGCTACCATTTGCAGTTGAAAGCAAGGGAGGTATAAGACTGTGTACATATCTCGGGTGGCCTCTGGGAAGGAATCCAGGGTATGACGGAGGCAGAATAAGAATAATTTCTTTTAGTATTATACAATCTTTTGTACAGTTGAAGTGTTTAAGCATGTGATATTTCTTAGTTAAACAAATAATCACTGAAAATGTAACCCACATGGATGCAAAAAATTCTCACTAAGATACTAGCAAATCAAATCAAACAATACATTAAAAGAATCAAGTGGGATTTATTCCTGAGTTGCAGTGGTTCAGTATTCACAAATCAGTCAAC